TGATATTTAAAAGCCTTACTATATATCACATATATTATAAAACATCTATTTGAATATAAAATCTGTTATATAAAATAACGGTAATAAAGAATTAGATTTTTTGTATTACCTAAAGAAATTGATCGTACCTTTTTAATTAATTGCTATTATTGTGACAAATAAATCAAATACGTCCCCTTAAATAGTGAAGGCTCTATTTACCGAGTGACAACGACAAACACCGACGACTGCCGAAGCAAGTGAAGTTGTCATTGACCAGTGCTAAGTGATCTGGGGGGCAAAATAACGATTATATTTATCTTTATAAAGTATTGAATAAAAATATTTTGTGACCTATTTTCTGAATTAAGGGGAATCTTTGTTATCCGTTTACTAAAATTTACTTAGAGCAGTAATTAAACCTTTGAAATATTGTAATTATTAAAATGAAGTCAAATAATAAAAATTTAATGGTTTACGTGATTATTAGGACGGTTTCTTGGTTTGGCATCATAATGCCAAAATAGAAGAAGTCAATGTTAATCTTAGTTTAATTAGTTTTAGTTTCTTAGTTAGTTCCTTAATTTAATTTTAATTTAACTAATAGTATTGTAAACTATTTCAACAATACATTACAAGTGTGTAATTATTAAATTAAATTGTAAGTTACGTAAAATCGCTCTCCTTTTGTAGATTTTGAACTCTCAATTTAAATAACTGTTTACAATAATTTTCTTTTAATAACTAAGCGCTAAATTAATAATGTCAAATTCTAAAAAAAGAGGACATTATGAGGTTTTACAATAAAGGATGTATTAGATAAAGTATCTATACTAATTTGATAAAACTAATTAAATTTTTGTGTAAATATTTCTTGGCGAAACTTGAATACGTGTGTTTAAGTCAAACTTTTATATTGCATAATGTTCACAAAATTGTTTGCGCGTCTCAATTTATGTTGGTCGCTTCTGACATGCGCAGTTTTGACATCGTTCCTTCAAAGAAACAAAACACGGCTGTTAAAATCTAGCGAATAGCAATAAGAATTATTTTTAGATTCTGATTCTTAAAATAGTTTTCTTAAAATAATTAATGTTGATTGTTTTAGATATAGACTTTAGACTATTAAGTGACATCTAATTCAGTGTTTCACAACGCCGACAGGATTTTTATTGGAATTTGAATTTTTCATTATACGTTTTAAGATTTACTTACTTATAAAGTAAGTAAATCTTCAAAAACAGTTAACAATTTCCTAGTATTTTTTTCCTAAAAGTTATCATATAATTTTCTTAAGTGAAATAATTTTTTTTTAATATTATAAATTATGCATGTTACATAGGCTAAGGGACATGGCACAAAGAAGATTGGGAAACGACACTCGAAAAATTACTTCCGACTATCAAAATGCTATACGTTTTTGTCCGGTTTTGTATGTCAAAAACGTATTGCATTGTTAAAGCAATTTTATCTAAAATATTTTTCACATTTGTTTATTAAGAGCGCGATAGCAAAATGCACGATTTCACCCGTGCGTTTTTCTCCGCCCTCTCTAGTGACGAGTGAAACAAACGTATGCCTGAAGTTCGCGTGAGATGAGACGGACAAAAATGTGCTTTTTATTTAAATAACTCGTAAGATATACAATATTTAATGAAATCGCCAGTAACAGTACTAATGTGCTGGAATTCAATTATTTTTTGGCTCCATAATACTTGCCATGCTTGAATAAAAACGAAAGTAGGCAAAAGTTACAAGTGACCTCGTGTTTTTGTATCGAGGAATTTGTATAGTATTGTGCTTTTAATTAGAGTCAACCATTTGAGAGAGAGAATAGAGATTATAGAGAAGAATCAATTCATATTTATTGTTTTTAATTCTAGCATGACATACTTAGATAAAATCAAATCTACGATGAGTAACTTTGGTTAGTGATGCTGTGATGTCGTATATAATGTAATTATATTTCAAATATATTGAGATAGTTGCTTTCTTAATATAAATTCTAGAATATAAGTATAAAGCTAAAAGTATCGGCAGTATTGGCGAATTTTTGGTTCAATTACATTTTTTTTATAACGCTTTAAACTGCATTGTTTCCGTTGTTGGAGGGAAACCTGAAACAGAAAAATGTTATTTAGCTTCAAACATCGTCGGTTATTTATAATTTAAGTTTAAGTATATGTTTATATGAAATGCCATTTCGTGTCGACAAATTGGAATAATAATACACCGTAATTTTATTCGACTTTAAAAATATGTCAGTGGCGCTACAACATTCTTAGATCGTAGGGCCTGGGATTTCTGTCCCTGTTTCTTGATAATTCGTCAATATAATAGGCAAGTAGGTGATCGGCCTCCCGTGCCTGACACACGCAGTCGACTTTTTGGATCTAAGGCAAGCCAATGTTACTTGCGCACGTAAAAAGAAAGTCCAGTGGTGCATAGCCTGCGATCGAACCCACACGACCTCAGGGATGAGAGTATCACGCTGAAGCCACTCGGCCAACACGGCTCGACTTTACCCAACTTTGGTGGAACAAATAGAACGGATGTGATTAGATTAGTTCCATTCACAATTTGCGTTAATAAATTCGACAAAACTTCGCCCACATACGAGAGACGATTTCATTATCATAATGATTATAAATTTATAATTGCGGCGTATGTTTACAGAATCCTTGTAAGTTTATACTTCGAATGTCTATTGCCATGGGGTTCAAGTGCACAGGCGCTTATTAAAGATTTAAGTTTGCACCTGATAGACAGTATTGGTGAGCACAGAGCTGTTACTTTTCTCGATCAACGAATAGCTATCGCAATACAAGAAATGCTTCCAGCTTTAAATGTATATTGCCATAGGTAGGGTTTATCTATTATTAGGCTGGAGGCTCATGTGATGTAAGGTGATACCGCTGCCCATGGACACTTGGACACTCACATTATCAGAAGGCTTGCAAGTGCTTTGCCGGCATATACAAATTGGTGCGCTCTTTTCTTGAAGGACCCTAAGTCAAACTGGTTCGGAAATACTTCAGTGGGAAGGTAGTTCCACATAGTGGTGGTGCACGGCAAAAACTGCTGTAAGAAACGCTCAGTTGTGGAACGATGCACGCCGAGGTGATACGGATGGTATTTTGTATTCTGCTTTGACGTCCGATAATAAAACTCAGCTGCTCGGTATTATTCCGAACAACTCCTCTGAACACTCTCCATGGTAAATGCGGTAGAAGATGCAGAAATACCCCACACCTCTACGCAACGCCAACGCCGCTCGGAAAGTGACTGGTAAAAATTGACACTACAATTGCAATAATTTAACTCATTATTATTACCACTTCAAATTATTATTTTTACTATTGTGAATGCTAGTTACATATATGCGCACAAATTTACGCGGTCTTATTTGTAAAAGCTATGGTCATTGCAAGAATAGGAGGGTAGTTTTGTTTTTATTTTGAAGTCTATCCTCATTTTCTTGCAATTGAGGCAGAGCGCTTACCTCCCGAATCTACGTTAGACAGTTATTAAAGAAGGTCATTCTCTAGACGTTTACGACCTAACTCTTGCCATTTTTATAACGTCGGTAAACAAGCCTACGGGAAGCCCAAAAAGGACAGTCATCGCAGCCCATGGAAACTCATTTTAGTAGGTGCGTTACCGTCCTTTAAGGGAGAAGTATATTATTTCTATAAACAATTGGAGGACGTATCTCCCAGGGAAGAACCCCACCGGAAGTCGAAAAAGAAAGTGTCTTGTGTAGCAGACAGTGGAAGATAAAAATTGATAGTTATGAAGTAGGTCGTTCAGCCTTCCATACATTTTGTTCGTCAATGATAAAAAGAAGCCTCAAAATAAGAGTTTAAGAAGAACTAAAGCATACAGAAATTCAATACTATATGAGGAAATCTCGCTAACCATATTCTATTATGTATTGGGTTTACGAAGTCATAATTAAGGGACAGCTGTGATGTCAATATGCACTAAATCCTCTTTCAAGATATTATTGTTTAATTAATACAAGCACAATATGACGTTCTAACGTTCTGACGTAATCAAAATCTAGTTTTGTGTGGCAATACGTTATACAGCGTACTAAAATTTGTCCGCAAGTTTTCATTAAAACTGAAATTCTAATGTAAAAACGCGAAAAGTTATGGTTGCAGATCACTTGCAACTTTTTCGCAGCCACGTGTAATTCTAAATTCAAAATTTATTTTCCAATAACAAGGTTTCTAAGAATGACTAGTCTGTATGGCCTGCGCCATGGGCGAAAAAAAAAAAATACACAATTACGTTGTTATAGCAGGTATTGGAACCCCTGAACTAAGTCTACGAAGATCTGTACATTATTACTTCGCTCATCCAACGGTTTAATGAAATTGTAACTTAACAATCGTTACTAAAATATTATATAAAGAAAAATAGAAAACTAAGACTTATTACTAAAACAAAGATACAGGTTTACCAGGTTAAAACGTTTGTACACACCAGAAGTGAATGACTATGATAATTTTTGGGAAAGGATAGAAGGAATGGGAGGTGAAGAGTGCTATTGTAATGTTATTACTACAAATGGTTGTGAATCAGATACAGAAATCTGAGCCCAAACCCAAAATAAATCAGTAGTGATAAAAATGTTGTATCACCACTGATTTATTTTATTTAAACATTAAAGTAAGGGCCAAACCAAGCTAAAGCTAAATCCACCAAACCACTCGACGTCGTTACACAACTGAACGTTTAAATCACCACCACTATTTGGAAGAAGCCAACTGAAGTATTTCCGAATCAATTTGACCTTGGGTCAAGGTAAAGTGCGTACCAATTCTTAAACTCACGCACTCACAAGTTCTCTGGTATTGAGAGTGTTTATGGGCACTTAACATCAGATGAGACTCCACTTGAAACAAACTTTGGGGCTTGAAGGGCCACAGTACTTTCCTTAGAAACTAAGGATTTAATATATTAAATACAATCCATACAACTACTTTGGTATTAAGTGTAAAAATGATATTATACTACTCACGATATACTCCAGATTCAAGTTTTTCCATCAGTATATTATATCCAAAATATCCAGCAATTATGAGGAGTATTAGACCAATGATAATTCCAGCTATAAGTCCACCATCAACCTGATTCTCCTGTGATACAAGACTGCTCTTTGATGTGTCTTCCAGCTTAAGTGTGAAGTTGGCCTTTGCACTCGTTAGTCCTGGCACTGGTTCTTCTAACTCAACATATACCCGAAGATAGTCACAGGCACTGAGTTCTTTGGCTGTTGTGTGTATGTATGTTATTGAGTTGTTTCTGTAATAAATTATTTGTTTTTCCGGCTTAATGTATAATGTACGTTGATTTGGTCAAGTAGATTTCAATTTACGAAATCGTAGTTATGAATAATGAATAATTTTCTAGTTTTCTGAAAAGATAACTACCAAGCCTAGACTTGTTTAAACTATCGCGGAATACACTAAAGAAGTATTAAGAATATTCATAGCGCAAAATCACCTCCATCATGAGCATACCCCACATACACATCCTCACATACATTTCCTCACTTTTACACCATCGCACAACACACCCAAATAAGGTATTACTTAGTTAAATGTATTGAATATATTTTTTATTGTTTTTTCCCTTTTATAAATGTTTGAACCTTTTTGTAAATATTATGTATTAAAAAAAAAATAGAGGCTATTATTATCATGATTATCATTATTATAGGATAACGAAATAAACCAATGAAATGAAAATAAATAAACGTCATTTATATACATTTTTGTTGTGTGTTTGTTTTTGTAATGTAATAATATAATAATTTAATAAGATAACTCAGATTACCTAGGAAAAACTAATTATAGGCTTTCCTCGCTCAACGAATAAGTATCAGCCACAGACCAACCTTTTTAGATTTGTTTTAAATTTCTATCTCTCAGTTTCTTGTAATTATTATAATTATTAAGAACATTGTAAATATGTTATTGTGTATGCCATAAAATCGCATTGCATAGCATAAGCTATGATTAATATATAACAAATGGTATAATTATAATTACATTGGCTTAAAACTGCTGAATTCCCGTATATCCTCAATATCCATGGTAAAGTCATCGCATTCTGTGTCTGCTTTTGCATGAAGGTATAAACAATTCTGAAACATATAAAAGATCACAAACTGTATAAATTGTCGATAATAAATTGTTTGTCAAAAGTTCTCAGCTGCCCGTGCCTACCAAGGCGATTTTTTACATCAGGAAGGTTCCCAGTAGAACATTTAATTCTTCTTCTTTCTAAATCTTCATTCTTTTTTATCTTTTAAATATTGACGTGTATAGAGAATGGAAGCGGTAGTAATCGATCAAAGATAGGCAAACCTATCCCATCCTAACAAAATCTTACTATTAAACTTCCCATTTGTAATCGTTATAACTAAATACATAATTAAATGTAATTAATAATAATTTTGTTTATATTTATGAAAATTTTATGATGCATTTTTGTTAATATCATCCTTGACAGACAACAGATTCTAATGACCTTCAAACCAAGTAGGAAGTATTATTCTTAAAATTAAGAATTTTCCTAAAAACATAAATAAAACGTAAAATATCTTTAATAACAAAATACTTACGAAGAAACATAGTAAAACTATTTTACATAACATTATGCACAAAACACGTAAATTACTGTCGAACACTTAATTATACTGAAATGTTTCCCCCATTATGAATGTATGACTAATAAATACCATATATTGCGAACGTCAAATCAAAATAACCTGATGTTTCATCATTATTGGGGACATTGTCATATGTGTATTATTTCATAATGTGTGTTATATTTGCACAATTAAAACAACAGATATAATAAAAAAATTATAATTTAACATCTTTTGTTTACTATGGTTCTATAATAATTATTAAATTATTAACTTAAAGGTAGGTAATACAAATTTTTTTTTTTTGAATCCTCTGGTGCTAGTCGGAAACAGACGTGTTACGTGTTGTGATTAAAAAGATTGAAATTTTAACTAAAATTCTACACTCAAAAGTAAACCTTACCAATCAGTCTTAAAGTCGTATCAGTTAAAAAGTGATTAATCAATTAATGACCTTGTGTAGCTGCGAGACTTACGTGCCTGCGAGTGCGCAGCACCCGCACCCCCGCGAGTAAAGAGAACCGCTGCTATTTTTCGTCGCACTCTCGCATCGCACACTTCGCTACGGTGACACAATGAACCTGCAGAAAACGTCGCCTCGTACCATACTGATAAGCGGTAGCGAGAGCCCTGGCGGATCAGTACCAAACTTATCCACTTTGGGTGATAATGAATTTCAAGAAAACATCACTCAGAGAAAACGGAAGGAGCGACCTGAAGTAACCGATTATAGGGAGGATTTCTCTAGCTTCCGTAACGAGATGATGACGTTCTTGCAAGAATTCGGCAAAACCCAAAATGAAAATATACGAGAAGAAATGTCAGAGATTAAAAAAGAAATAAAAACCATAAAATCAGCCACAGAAAATTTTTCGAAACAATTTGAACAAATGAAGAATGAAATTGAAAACATTAAATCCAACAACAACAAAACTCAAGACAAGAAAGGAAATATCTCATATTAAAGGTCAACAAAACACAGATGAAAGTTCAACAACTAAATCGCCACTCTTATGTAATGAGAACCTTATAATTGAGCTCAAAGACCGATGTGACCGTGAGAAAAACATAATTATCGTGGGTATATCGGAAAAAAACGACAAAAACTCCAACACAAGACGGAGCTACGATAAAGAAGAAGTTATGACATTAATGAAGTCATTGTATGACGACTGTCACCTAACTATGACTAGGAAAATATGTACCTTACAAGAACCGGCCGATAAAATGTTACTTTAATACTACGGATACCACAAGACACCTTTTACGGAATAAGAAAAAAATGCCTGAGAATATGCATATTTACGCAGATCAGACCCCAACACAAATTATGTATTACAACAAGTAAAGGAAGAGTTAAACACACGTTTAGAAAAAGGTGAAAAAGATCTTGTTATCAAATATATAAAAGGATTGCCTACAATCATTGTATACAAAATAAACCAAAAAAACCTATAAACGTCTCGATACAAAAGGCAAAATATACGAGTAGATTATGTCATCAAATTGTACAAAAATACGAAGACATTCCAGTGCACCCATCCTCACTAAGATTCTTTTATGCGAACTTACGTAGTATCCGGAAAAGTGTTATTGTTGAGAGGTTAACTAATTGTATAAATGTTTGTTTACAGAAATTTATCTTCCCCGACACACTAAAGGTTGCTAAGATCAGTCCTATACACAAATCAGGATGTAGAACTGATCCTAGCAATTATAGGCCTGTATCGGTCCTATCTGTTTTATCAAAAAATTTTGAACGAGTTTTATATACCCGCCTGAACAATTATCTAAGCGAAAAACATTTTTTGATCGAACAACAATATGGCTTTCGTGCTAAATCATGTACTCTTACGGCAGCGACTGATTTAATCACGAAAATCAAAACATATATTGACCAAAAAAATATTGCACTAGGTATTTTTATTGATTTGAAAAAAGCGTTTGACACTGAGAGTCATCAAAAGCTTTTACAAAAATTAAACAATGCTGGTGTCACAGGCACAGCATTGGATATGCTTATTGTTTACATCCTATTTACTAAATAGGTGTCAGGTTGTAAAACTAGGAAATTTCAAGTCTTCAATCCAAAACGTGCCATATGGTTGCCCTCAAGGTTCCATAATAAGTCCCTTGCTATTTTTAATTTATATTAATAACATTAACAAGATAGGGCTCACAGGTCATTTAACATTATACGCAGACTATACTTCCCCCTTTTTTTTTGGGGGAAAAGCTATTTTTTTTTTAAAAAAAACCCCGAGGAGAAAACCCCCCCCCCCCGGGGAGGGGTAAAAAAAAATTTTTAAAAAAAAAACCCCCAAAAAAACCCCCTTTTTTTTTCCCCGCCAAAAAAAAAAAAAATTTAACCCCCCCCCCCCAAAAAAAAAAAAAAAAAAAAAAAAACCCCCCCAAAAAAAAAAAAAGGCTTTGGTTTGGGCGGGCCCCCCCCTGGGGGTCCCTCTTCTTCCAAAAAAAAAAAAATTTTTTTTTTTTTTTTTTTTTTTTTTTTTTTTTTTTTTTGTTTGCACACTGCATCCCAACGGACTATTATATACAACTCTTTAGTAAAATCAAATCTTGAATATTTAATTGAAATATGGGGATCAGCCGCGAAAACTAATCTAAATAAATTACAAAGGACCCAAAACAAAATTATAAAAGTTTTATTCCATTATAATCACCTAACTCCAACTAAAATATTATATGAAAAAACAAAAATACTAAATATTAGACAACTATATATGTACAACACATGCATCCTAGTAAAGAAAATTATAACAAATTCCATCCAATCGAATATAAAATTACATAAAAAAAACAATTACAATTTACACACCACTTGAGGAAAAAAAATAAACTTCAACTTATAACAGCGCGGACTAATTACGGAAAAACAACGATATTATTCGAAGGAGCACAGTTGTTCAACAATTTACCAGAGGAATTAAAACAGTGCTATAATATGAATGTCTTCAAAAGAAATCTAAAAGATTATTTGTAATCAGTGTAATGTTTCCAACGCTCTAGAGGCTACTAATATTATATAATTTAGAATTAAGTACTATATCTCATTGTAAGCGAACTAGTATTAAGTTCTTATGAAAAATAAAGTTCTTTAAACCTAATTCAAATTCAAAAGCCTTTTATTGCCAACCTTAAATAACATTACTTTTGCTGTGTTAGTATTTAGTTTTCTTAATTTATTGTTAATATTATATTTAATAGTATATTAAATAAATAATTGTTTCTTCAGTTGGGTACCCGGTTATGGGTAAAGGCCTCCTCCATATTTTGCCATCTGTGTCGGTTCTGGGCGTCCCTTGTCCAGGTGTTGCCGGCCATGTCATCTATCTCATCTCGCAATCTCATAACGGGATGACCTCTGTTCCTTCGGCCGTCTCTGGGATACCAGTGAAGTACGCGTTCGCTCCATCTTATTGTTCTATTTTTATGCCTTCAATTTCTACTTCCGATAATCCAATAATATCATATTTTATTTTATCTAGCACTTGATCTAATTCTGGTAATCTATTTCCTGCGAGCAGCGATCTAACGTTATACGTACAGATGTACATACTACATAGTATTGTTTTGGTAAGTAAAGGTAGGTAAACTAATCATAATTTGCTCTCTTGCCATATGTATAGTAATAATAATAATAATAGGCTTGCAATTCAGATACGTTTACATTTAAACACGTTTCAATTTCAATCTTCTGTTAGGTATCTGTGAGCCCTGTTTTGGCAAAGGCCTCATCCGCCATTCCTCTCTGCACTGTTCCACTCTCTATCATGTACCACCTGCTGTTTCTTAATATTCCAATTAGCATGTCGATAATTTATTTTAAGATGTTTTTCTACAGAACTGGACAAACGTTTGGCCACTGATGTTAAGATAGATGAGATTGGAGGGCACGTCCAGAGATGCCTTAAGCATAAAGCTGAGTAATTTACTATGAGGTAACATTTCTCATCTGTTACCTTCAGTATATTGTCATAACTTAAATTGTATTAATCGTGAACGGAGTGAATAGTTTATTTTATAATATTTATTTATGCGGAAAGCTATTTAAACATAGATTTTATTTTAAATACATACATAAGTTTCATCTAAAGTTACTTGAAAAACCCAAAACAACAGGAAAATATGATCTTAGTATGGCATAGATTTATATGGTTAACGTAGCCAAAACGAGATTTAAACAGTTTTACAGATAAAAACAACAACAAAAAAAACTTTTTAACCGGATTAAAGTTATGTATTATTATAAATTTTTAAAGCACGCGAAACGCCGGTTAAATTTAAAATTATGTTAAATAATTGTAAATTTATAAGAATACATAACTTTAATCCGGTTAAAAAGTTTTTTCTTTCAAAGTGTAAAGGTTATGTCAATAAAAGACAATGCTAAAGACAAGACTTTTAAATTTCTTCCTCAGTACACAAGCAAACTAAATATTACGCTTTATTAATTTGTACGTGCAATTAGGCTGTCCTAAACATTTTAACGATAATTATAATTTATTAATATTTAATCTATTTAATTAAAATACTTAATTTTTCAACATCGAAGTGATTTTACTATATTTATTATATATATATTTTTTATATTTAAATACACAGTTAAAATCGCGATTTTTTTGTACAAAAATAAAATACGTAACAAACAAAAGAGTTAAAGTTGAAATAGGCCGATCACATTGACCCTTACTTGGAATGGCCCAGTGGGAAGAAGAAAGATAGGACGCCCACCATCGAGATATCGGGGCGGAATTGGAAAATTGTCGCAAGGAATAGGGACAAATGGAAGAATTTGGAGGAGACCTTCATTCCATCGGAGGTTGAGTACTAGTGTAAAACATAAATGACATGTACTTAGTGTAGTGTAGTACTTGAATAAAGGCTGTTTTTATTTTATCATATAGTTTTTGTTTTATTTCAAACAAACTAGACACAGAAATATGTATGCAGACATTTGTTTTCCGCTTTTGGTTGGTGGGTAAAATAAAATTCTTTGGGAATTGTTCCATGTTAGTTCAATTAGGTCAAAAGAGATGCTCTGGGCGTAAGCCTAGGTGGGCAAGTAAATATGTAGTAGAGAAATTAAAAATTCTGCCAAGAGAAACTCTCCATAGAGATGCCTGGCTAAAACATTTTGTTAAGACACACATTTGTGACACACATTGCTTTATATTTATAAACAAAAGCAACTTTGTCATTTGTATCAGCAAAATAACTGCCTCCTATTAAACCTTATCTAAGCTATTCCTATTAAACTATTTTTATAAATAATATTCTTTCACTGCAATCGTTACAAAGCTTCCTATCTGTTGTACGTTAAATACACTGAATATAAAATCAAACAATTATACCCTTTAAACTAGTGTAGTAAGTTTCAAAATCTCTTAAACAAATTTGACTCATATGATTTTATAAAATGTTTTATCACATCCGTACTATTTCACGCACAATATGTGCCATTGATCTTAAATATGAGTTCAAAATTACACTCAACAAAACAAAGCTTCGTCTGTCTGTTACTTTATGGTACTTTTTGTGTAATATGGACGAAGGACTTCCGGTGATTAAAACAATAAGGATACGTCTGAAACATATGTTATAAGATGGGCAAAAAATTCCATAAAAACTTAACAACTGTCTAAACGGAGGAGAATTTAATTGTTGCGACTTACTGTCTTATGTCCCCTAGATGGGGCAGAGGGCGTCAACAGTGATCCTTCATCGCGGTCGCTACTTCGTTTTATCTCGCTCCGAGTCTTTCAATCTGCAATTGTACGTCGCTATAGTTGGGGCAGAGGGTGTCCACAGTGATATTTTTGCATATAACAGGGAACAAACGGGCAGAAGGCTCATCTGATGTTAAGTGATACCGCCGCCCATGGACACTATAAATGCCATAGAGCTCGCGAGTGCGTTGCCGGCCTTTAAAATTCCATCGCGCTCGCTTCAAGTCTTTCCTCTTGGCCTCAGCAGCATCTTAAGGATTGAAATCCTTAAGTTGCTGTTTAGTCTTTAAATACGCTTGAGTTCACTAAACATTCATTCAACTTCTCAGTCCGTTGTTCCACATGGCATAGCTATGGCTTCATTTGTGGTATGTGTATGTAATTTAACTAATAAACACTTAACATTAAATAATGGACCTTAACAATATGCAGAAGAGAACTGAAAGATGCTGTTCTTCGTAATGATTGCAGCTCATTACATATTGTAAATTAAAACAGCGATTTAAAAATGTGACGGAGAGTAAAAAATAAAAAGTTGTTAATTCTTCTCGTCCGTTCTACATGCTTGATTAGAAAACTAACAGTAGATTAGGTATATTTGTTAAAGATTAATTTCATTTTCACTTATAAAAAGGTGGAAAAGAATAGACATAGCAGGAAGCGAATGGAGAGACAAAGAGAGAGATATTTGGAAATAGCTGGGGCCTTTACCCGTGAAGGGGTTCCTATCAATGGTCCTGAAGAAAGTCAGGATATTAGGATAACAAGAAAAGTATTACATACTGTACATTTGAAAAATTGAATAAATGCCTTTTATATTACATATAAGTAGTATTTCCAAATTTGCTGTGACGAATTGGGTTCCTATCAATGGTCCTGAATATTATTATGTAGGTTAGGTAGTAATGTTTTTGATTGGTATATGTTTAGATTAGATATGAATAAATAACTACAATATTAAATAAAAAATAAAGTAGCGGTCGCTACTTCGTTTATCTCGCTCCGATTCTTTCAATCTGCAATTGTACGTCGCTATAGTTGGGACAGAGGGTGTCCACAGTATGCATAGAACAGGGAACAAACGGGCAGAAGGCTCATCTGATGTTAAGTGATACCGCCGCCCATGGACACTATAAATGCCATAGAGCTCGCGAGTGCGTTGCCGCCTTTAAAATTCTCGCGCTCGCTTCAAGTCTTTCCTCTTGGCCCTCAGCAGCATCTTAAGGATTGAAATCCTTAAGTTGTGTTTAGTCTTTAAATACGCTTGAGTTCACTAAACATTCATTCAACTTTTCAGTCCGTTGTTCCACATGGCATAGCTTCATATTATCTTCATTTGTGGTATGTGTATGTAATTTAACTAATAAACACTTAAAATTAAATAATGGACCTTAACAATATGCAGAAGAGAACTGAAAGATGCTGTTCTTCGTAATGATTGCAGCTCAATTACATATTGTAAATTAAAACAGCGATTTAAAAATGTGACGGAGAGTACGTTGTTAATTCTTCTCGTCCGTTCTACATGCTTGATTAGAAAACTAACAGTAGATTAGGTAAATATTGTTAAAGATTAATTTCATTTTCACATATAAAAAGGTGGAAAGAAGATATAGACGCGGTAGCAGGAAGCGAATGGAGAAAGAAAGCCATGAATAGAGAGAGATATTTGGAAATAGCTGGGGGCCTTTACCCGTGAAGGGGTTCCTATCAATGGTCCTGAAGAAAGTCAGGATATTAGGATAACAAGAAAAGTAATACATACTGTACATTTGAAAAGATTGGAAATAAATCGCCTTTTTATTATTAATATAGTATTTCAAATTTGCTGTGACGAATTTGGGTTCCTATCAATGGTCCTGAAGGAAGTCAGGATATTAGGATAACAAGAAAAGTAATACATACTGTACATTTGAAAAGATTGGAAATAAATCGCCTTTTTATTATTACATATAGTATTTCCAAATTTGCTGTGACGAATTTGGATCAAAAATATGTTTTAATATATAAAGAATTATTATGGATATAATTGAAATGAAATTACTATGTATTCCCAGGAAAAAACGGATATATTTTACTATTTATAGGAATATTAATGTGAGCAACATCCTTCATTATAATTCTTATACATTACTATTCAGATCACGTGACGATAAAGTCATTCTTTTAGATATAAATAGGCCTTGTGATTTTATTTACATTATCTGTGTACAAAGGAATTTGAAAAGAGGTTCATTTTAATGTTACAGAAAATACTTTTAAGATTATAAACAAGAATTCAACTACAATATAAAAATTATAAACGCCTCAAATATAAGAGTGTTTCCTTCAACTTCGAACAAATTTTGTTCCCTTTGGTGTAGAGTTCTGTTCCATTGCAGGCGCTAATAAAAGAGTTGAGTTGGCGCCTGGTAGATGGTACCGATGACCCTAGAGCTGGTGCTTTCATTGCTCAACGAATAAGTATCCCAATACAGCGAGGAAATGATGCTTAAGGTACACTGCCACAGAGACCAAACTTTTTAAATTTGTTGTAATTTTCTTTTTATTATTTTTATTATTACTATGTAGGTTAGGTAGTAATGTTTTTGATTGGTATGTAAGATTAGATATGAATAAATAACTACAATATTAAATATACAATAAAGTAGCAAATAAATTTATATGATATGCAGTGTTGTAAATGTTAGTATGAACAAAAGCTCTTGTGTGAACAAATGCACTAATAACCCTAATTTAAGTAAAATTTTATGGATCTCCCGCAGAGCTTAAACATTTTGATTTTTACTGCAAACATACCTATTTGTAGTTATACAAAAATCGGTTAGTTTACATTTCTTAATATGAATATTAAATGTGTTAGTATAAGTTGTAAGTTTTTTTACTGGTCTTTTAATTACACTGTAGTAAAAGGGTAAAAGCCTCCTCCATATTTTTAAATAAATAAAAATCATTTAATTCAGACCATTATAAGTCCATATATTGTTAGTAGAGTAATGCTTATAAGTTAGTTAGTTAGTAAAATTAAAATTAGCAAAATTATTAAAACATTTAATTCATAAATCTTCGTTGTTTTGAGGCGCCAGGTACATGGGCATGTATATGAACCCAGTGTCTCAAAACAGCACATATTTTTCCATTTCTCTTTTTTTAACTCTGATTTATCTCAATACATTGTTCAGATCGAATTGTCTTGTTTTGGATGATATGAATCTTATGTTGAAAGTGCATAATTTTAATTGCTGTGACGTGACGACTTCTATTTTTACTATATTTAATATATATAATTATACAGGACAATAAATATATTAATATATTTATTGTCCTGTTCTGGTTTTTCTATGTAATGGAGGGAGGATTCCTCTCCATACCACCAATATACTTTTGTGTTTCGTCTAACAGGGTTAACCAGTGTTACATGGCCAGTTAAATCATTAACTAAACCACTGATTCAGTTGATTAATTACTTTTTTTTAATAATTAATTTTCATGAGTGAACCCGGTCGTTAACTAATTATACACAGATAGCAATTAAGTTTTAACGGAATGCATTAAGGGTGAAATTTAACTACGCTCCCACTGATTTACTGTCTCCTTTGATCACATTGTTTTCATCTCTCCTGCCATTTGGTAGTGCGACAGGACAAAATTACAAGTGAAAAATGTGCTTAAAATTATTAGTGATTTTCATGTTGAGTTGTGATGTATTTGTCGAAAGTTTAAAAGCCGGATCACCCGGAGTTTGTGTAGTTAAATCAAGGTATTAAAATATATATATATAAATTATTTAGGCATTTTAATTGATATATTAATGGAGTTACAGTCTGGATTTTTCGAGGTTTTTTAAGCTTTTTTTAATATATGCATAATTGTTTGGACGATTAATTAAAGCATGATAAGGAATGTATGTTGGTCTGTCGATGAAATGATAGCCTGTGTCAGGCCCAGAATACATTATCTATTTGCTTTTAACAAAAATTTAAACGGATTTTATATAGTATACTAACAGACTCGGCCAAGCGTTGCTGTGGCTAAGATTTTTGTTATATTACATACGATAGTAGTAAACTATCCAAGAGAAACGGCAGGAGAACACCAGTCCACCATGCTTTTTTGGTGTTTATGCCATTAAATTGTAGCTTATATGAAACGTTGGTACTTTCAACACAGCGCCATTGTTAGAATTGTGACTGTAAAATTATTTGCAATAAGATAATATTGCGGGTATAACTTAAGATGTAAGCTATCCTATCTTCTAAGTTAGATCAAACGGCATACGGTGTGCAAATTTGATTGAAATCGGTTAAGTAGTTTAGGAGTCCATAGCGGACAAACAACGTGACGCATAATGTATATAGATTAAGATATTACGTATATACATTTACACTTATGTTTTGCTACATACGCGACCTTTCCCGACGCCACCCTTCCAATCAATTAATACCACATCTTAAATGTGAGAGTGCGAAAGTTTGGTATGTATTAGGTAGAATTTTAGTATAAAATCTATTTTTATAATAAAATTTCAGTGCTCGCAAGACACGAGCAAAGCCGATACAAGTCGCTATTAACAAATGGTGTGGGAAGAAGAAATGTGTCGTGAGAAGGACTAAGTTAGAGGTAACTTGTTATTATACTTTCAACAAGGGGTACACTTTCGTAGTAAACGCTTGATTATCTCATTTAAGTAAGGTACTTTGTAAGCTGAGTTTTTAAGAGACTTAATTATGTTGAGTACACTAGAATATTACGAGTGTTGGCTAGTGGCTTCAGCGTGCGACTCTCATCCCTGAGGTCGTAGTTACGATACGGCTGTGCACCAATGGAGTTTCTTTCTATATGCATATTTAACATTCGTTCGAACGGTGATGGAAAACATCGTGAGGAAACCAGCAGAGGATGCACAGAAGGCTGAACACCTACTTGCCGATTAGTTTTACAAATGATCATGAAATAGATACATAAATCTGTGGCCCAGACCTATAAATGTTGAAGCGCCACTTTTATAATTTATTTTACTTTAAACTAGTATAGTGTATAATTTTTTAAATGTGATACAAATGATGTTATGAGGTGATTATTATAAAAATGTAAAGATACTCTTATTCTAACAACTTCTAAGTTTTTAAAAACAGTCTAATACAGCGCTGATGATGATGTCGCATCACACCCCATCGAGGCTTGTGACATCGCATTTCTGCATCTGTTTTACTGGTAAATTTTCTTTTGGCAAATCAGTCTTCCGTCAACATGTTTTCATATACATTTGCCATAGTCCATTGGCTAATGGAACCTTATGAAAGCATGGACTTGAATGAGTTGAGAGTGATCATGCACTTTAGGTTTCAGAATTGGTTTAGCCTCTGCTAATACAAAGCCTAATTACGTTAAATTTAATTTGCAGACATACGTAGCATGGAGGAAACAAACCGTCTGCTGCAGCGGTTGGCAATATAACGAAAACGACTCATGTGCACCCCTCTGCAGTACCGGCTGCAATGGAGGCCGCTGCACCGCTCCTGACACCTGTACTTGTGACCCTCCAGCTGTCACCCACCCTGAGCACAAGAACACTTGTATAACCCCTCAATGTAACCCTCCCTGTGTTAATGGCCAGTGTATAAATGATACATGTGTTTGCCAAGACAACTACGAGAAGTTGAACGGAACACATTGTTACCACTGTGAGCCAGGGTTCACTTTAGCAGCAAACTTTACATGTGTGAAGTGCCAGTGTGAAAATGGTAGCTGTGTTGATAATACTTGCGTTTGTGATACGGGATTTGTCTTGAAGGACAACCTTTGTGAACCTATTTGTGAAGGCTGCAATGGAAGATGTATACGCCCAAACTTTTGTCAATGCCAAGACGGGTATACATATGCAAACGACAAATGTGAACCAATTTGTAATAACTGTAACGGGACATGTGTTAGTCCCAATGTGTGCCAATGTTTTGATGGGTATATCAATGTGGGAGGCAAATGCGCACCTCAGTGTAATTGCGAGAAGTGTCTAGAACCAAATGTATGTAATTGTTCAGATGGTTATAGGAGTGATAATGGAACTTGTGTGCCTATATGTACCGAGTGCGTCAATGGATATTGTTCAGCCCCCGATGTATGTTCGTGTAACGAAGGTTTTATGAAGAATAGTGACGGTGTGTGCCAGGCGTGCTCAGAAGTTTGTACTTGCAATGCTAATGGGGAGTGCCTTGAGGAAATATGTCGATTGTAAGTATTGTTAAAATTTACTTTTCAATATTATATTGCGTATATTTTATAAGTTAGTATAACTAATGCCCGCGATTGCGTCTGGGCAGGATTTAAATAATTGTTGTCTAAATGATGTAGCGTGAAAGATATATTTTATCTACTGTAAATACCCGAAGCGTTAAAAGTGTCTATTTTCATTTAGTGTTACCAAATGTGCATTTGAAATAAATTATCAATTTTAATTGTAGTTATGCTTCACTATTTTGGCTAAGCGAGCTTTTTTGTAGGATTATTTATGATAAACATTTCCATCATATATTACATATGTGTGTATAGCGGTATTTTGACAGCGCACGCCAGAATAGGTCGCAAGATTTTTTCTTACTTGATATTTTGGACAATTCACACAATATCTTTATAAAGCCTATGTGTTGTTCTGATGTATAATCTATATTATTGTAAAGTTTCATTAAAATCCATTCCGTAGTTTTTACGTGAAAGAGTAACAAACATCCATCCATACTTACAAACTTTCGCGTTTATATTATTAATAGGATATCTGTGCCAATATGTTCTTGAACCGACTTCTTTTAATATGTTATGTTTGAAAAGATCCAAAAAACTAGGATGTATAGAGAAAAATTTATTACTACCTACTTTTAAAGAGCCTAATTAATAGCTGTGTTTTTATTTAAATGACACCAAAGAGGAAACAATCAATATCTTTTTTTATACAATTACAATGGCAGGGGAGTGGGGAGTAATACTCTCACTACTCCCCTGCCATTGTGTCCAGGGACTTTTTATATCTCTTACATTTTTACTAAAAATATACATAAATTAATTACGCATGTGCACGTGTTTACACGAAACACACAACATTTGATAGTGCGTCCTTAAGATCCCACTGGTAGGAACTCTATAAGAAGTACAAGTGAATAGTCTACGTACTCTAACAGTACGTTAAAGGGATAAATCTTGTGCGTATTAACGGGGACTATATTTAGCCATTCCCAAGAATGAATCAGAGTCCTACAACAATAAGCTAATGAACTGATAATAATGATGAAGTGCGATCACTCACATCTATTGTGTCAATGCAAATGGTGTATATCCTGTGCTGACGATATCATTTGACCTCAATGTACAATTCCATTTAAATATTGCAGTTTTTATTAGGTCCTTACATATGAAATTGGCGTATTTCGTACTGGCCACTTTAATCACGATGTTCTCCTCTTTGGTAAGGAATTCCAAATTCAAATTTGTACAGCTATTTACTCATGTATTTGTGCTTCGATGACCGTAATTCATTTGTTTTTTTCTTCTGTTTTTTTCTGTTTGCGTCACTCATTTTACAAAATGGAAAACTTAAAGTATCGCATTATTTACGAGTACGAGTTCCGCCGTGGCACTAGTGCTGCGAAAAACGACTCCAAGGGTGAATGATGTGTATGGCGGTCATGTTGCAAAAGAAAACACAGTTCGTTTTTGGTTCCAACGTTTACGTTCTGGAAATTTCGACCTGCAGAACAAGCCCCGTGGACGGCCTGAGACCCAAGTTGATAATGAAGTATTGAAGGCTATTGTGGAAGCGGATCCATCGCAAACCACGTCCGAGTTAGCTGCAGGCTGCGGTGTTAGTGATAAAATTGTTTTAATTCACTTGAAGCAAATTGGGAAGTTTAAAAAGCTTGAAAGATGGGTACCTCATGAATTGACTGAAGCAAACCGGCAAACGCGCGTCGACTGCTGCGTTACATTACTGAACCGGCACAATAATGAAAGTATTTTAAACCGAATCATTACCTGTGATGAAAAATGGATTCTTTACGATAATCGGAAGCACTCAGCGCAATGGTCGGATCCTGGTCAGCCAGCCAAATCCTGCCCCAAGCGAAAATTAACCCCAAAAAAGTTACATGTAAGCGTTTGGTGGACTAGTGCCGGTATTGTTCATTGCAGTTTTCTCAAATCTGGCCAGACTATTACGGCTGATGTGTATTGTCAGCAATTGCAAACCATGATGGAAAAGCTAGCTGCTAAACAACCTAGGCTGGTCAATCGCTCCACGCCACTGCTACTTCACGACAACGCAAGACCACACACTGCACGACAGACGGCTACCAAATTAGAAGAGCTTCAATTGGAATGTCTAAGACATCCTCCGTACTCCCCGGACCTTGCTCCAACAGATTACCATTTTTTTCGAAATTTGGACAACTTCTTGCATGGGAAAAAATTTAACTCTGATGGGGCAGTCCAAATCGCCTTCACAGATTTTATTGATTCCCGTCCGACTGGTTTTTTTAGTAAAGGGATCAATGAACTACCTATGAGATGGCAAAAGTGCATAGAAAACAATGGTTCATACTTTGATTAATTAAATATATTATATTTAAAAAATTTCGACTTTTTGTTCTTCCCATACAAAACGCCAATTTCATATGTAAGGACCTAATATTAAGTACATTGTTAACTCTTTATAACGAATTTTATAGGGAGGGCAGAGAAAAAAAAACAAATTTAACCAATTATAATAATATCTATAGGTAAATTATTCTAAACACATATATTCTGTTAACTTTGCCTGACGTAAATTTCTGCACCTCAAAAGGTTAGCTTTGTGAGCTGATTATAAAAACAATTACACTTATGTATGTTGTTGGTGTCTACATATGAAAATATTTCATCGTTATAGAGAATGGGTTGTCCGTTATAAAGAGTGAATTAATGTATGGGTTATGTTTTAAACCAAACAAATGTAACTAATTTTACGTTATACGCTTTTAAGCCGTATGTGGTGTAGGGGCCACAATTCTTATTTTACTTTAGCTTTTGTGGAAATACCAAAAAAAATCTATGACTTTTATGTTAGTAAATACGGGCCGGTTAGGTTAGAATGAGAGAGATACCTCTTAGTAACGAGCTATGAGTGTAAAAAGTACTGTTTTGTATCCAGTGTAAAAGTAACTTTTATAAAAGATTTTGGTTTAGAGCCATTGGTCTGTGCGGAATGAGTACCGTCATGGGGTTTGAGGTCACTGCACTGCTAAATTATCGATTTGTTATGTTGATAACACTTTTACGTCATTATAGTTCGACAGTAACCTAACGTCAGTGGCGTAACAATAGGGTGGCAGGGCTGGCAAAATTCCACGAACCCCCGACCCAAGAGGGCCCCTGCCCAAAAGATATTATGTTCCGTGGATGAATGTGAAGTCTCCCATACGCATGGGCTAGCGTGGGGACTACAGACCATTCCCTCTCGCATAAGAGAGGAGGCCTATGGCCATTAGTGGGACATATACAACGTGTAATTGAGTACGCTGAAACTCTCGAAGCTTACTAAAATTAACAGTAACAGAGTACAACGTGTGACGATTTTTACTGATAGGGTAAAATCAAAAGAATTGCCACAAAGAAGATTTGCCACGGGCCCCAGATGGTATAGTTACGCCACGTCAACGATTGTGACGCGTAGCAAATAGTAATTATTTTCACTACTTGAGAGGTTGTATCGCAGGCACAAGACAATTGGTATTGTAGATCATGTGCGCCATATGCGCCCATATTCATATGAGACTCACAAAAATATACGTTGAACGAATATTCGCCATATCAGAATACTTTTTATTTATGCCCACTGATTTGGTTTTCGCTTTGAATCCATTTTGACATGATTTCATAAATTTTAGCAAGCATTTTTGATCACCCCTTTTTGTTTGGTTCAAGAATGATTTTAAATGAAAGTGCTATGTTCTTGGATCTGCTCCCTTTAAACCGGGGGACGCCCGGGGGGGGGGGGGGGGGGGGGGGGGGGGGGGGCGCGCATGGGGTTTTTCCGCGTGGGGGGGGGGGGGGGGGGGGGGAAGGGGGGGGGGTTTTTTTTTTTTTTTTTTTTCATACCCAAACAATTCGCGAAGTATTTTCAACAAATGTCAAACAACGACACCTTCAGGTGTACTCATAAACTAAGGTTGATTACGTTTTTGAAATTCTAATTGTTTTTCGAAAACATCGGTAGATGGCAGCCATCACCAATTAAATTGAATTCAATTACATTATTTTCTTTGTTGTTGTTTTATGCGAGATTTAATTACTAGATTTTTTAAATTCGTGTTTTTAACCGTGTAATTACAATTTGATTTAGAATAAAAAAATATTGACGTACATTAGATTTGTTTACTACTAAACTGCTAATATCTGGTTTGATAAGCTTCCCCTAAATTTTCCATGTCCATGAACTTGAATGTCAATTAAACGTTTTCTTGAACATTCCTGTGTATTTGGTTTCTATTTACCATCGTCCTGTAATAGGTTCGTTAAACCACATATTGTTGCATAATTATAATTGATGCAATTCCTTATCAATAGGAAAATTCCAGAGTTGCGGTAGATATGATAAAAATGTTCACACCATAATATCCTTTATTGCTGAATAACAAGGGTTGTTTTTCTTTAAAACGTTATTATAGGTATGACGTTAATTCTATGATGAACCAGTCATGCATTTTCTGGATTGATCTATAAATCTATAAGGTTGGTATATTTAATTAACCGGCGTCAAAAAAAGAGGTTATCAATTTATTTACTATGGAATTGGAATTTGATGATCTATTTAGACCTCCAAACGGTAACTTCCTTAGTTAATATATCCACAAGGTTTATCTGAAACATAAAGACATATCATTTCCAAGTTTGAAATCAGTTTAGTAGTTATTGTGTTATGGGTAACCTAGTTGAAGGTGAAATTTTCATAAGTGTGTGTTAAAATTAAAATTTCATTGACAGCTATTTGAGGTTCATAATTTTTTTTTACAATTTAATTCATACAACTGTGTCATGACACAGAAATTAACCTATTTATTGTAATTGTGTGTTATTGTTAATTGGAGAACTCCTGAGTTCGATAACCGGTGAAAAAATATCGATACAACAGAAACGTATCAAATCATCAAAGACAATTATTATTAGTTTTTGGGAGTATTTAGAACTTAAAATTCAAAGCATCGCTTTATTGACAAGAAACATTATTGTAACATAATAACAATTACGTTGTGGAATTACTCACGGGTTAATTATTTATAATTAACTATTCGATAATGCGTTCGTTGTTAACTAATGTACACCGTGCTTTAGATAACAAATAAAGATTTAAACTATAATTAAGTCCTTTGAGTAGTGTCAGCTTAGTGGTTAAGTGTGAGATTCGTAACTCAAAAGTCGTTCGTTTGAACTCATGTTTAGGTATTTGTCTACACAATAAAAAAAAAACAAACATTCATTGTATCTCCGAAAAGCACCAGGCTTTCCTATGTCCTAGACATTACTGTGAAAGCCTGGAAGAAAGCGTGGAATAAAACATGGCAACTACGTAAATTGGTTTTATTGATAAAGTTTTATACTTATAGATTGATCGTAAAAATACACTTGCATTGCAATATTGCAGCTTATTTTTATATTTTAACATCTTATTTCAAAAGCCGCATTCAAACCGTGCATGGGGTTGAAGCTTTTTTTTTTAGCTTTTGCTTAAATAAAACATCTCTCATATACATTGTAGGAACGAATGAGAGAGACTTCTTTATAACGTATAAGTGTGGACTTCTCATTAATTACTGATAATTTACAAACTCTTAAATTACTTTTAATGGTAATCAGAAGCTAGTAAAAACCTCAAGAAAGATTTAGGGTCCATCAGACTTTGCTGTTATTCTGGGCGGAAAGAGTACTATCGTGGGATTTTGCTGCATTTATTTTATTTATATTTTTTAAAACAACGTATATGCATAAAATTATACAAGAAAATATGACATCACAAATTTTACACACATTCATTATCAACTGGCTAAATATTTTAGACGGTTAGTTAAACGGAGCTGTTTTGTTAAAAGGCTAGGCAGTAAATTGATCGGCTTATTAAGCTAGTTGGCTGCGACATATATATTATTGAAATGAAGTTTTATACCATTTTGCATAATAGATAGAGATTTTTAATAAATCAATTATCTTTTTATTGGTATTACCCAAACAGAGGCAGTTAAATTAAGGTCACAGTTATTTGTCCATTATAGTACCTGATAAAAAACAATACGTATCGTCAATTGAGCGTTAAATATATAGCCGATTAACGACCTACATGACAGGAATATAAATCACTATAAAATGTCTGGCCAATGTCCATATTAAACGACATAGCGAAAATTTTAGGGTCCTCTGGTACCAACAGTACGGCTGCTTTCAACTATGTGTCGTTCAAATCCCGACTGTGCACCGTACGTATGTTTTAATGTGCAAAAAATATTTAAAGTATGTATTAGTAATCATAATAATCAAATATTTATTTATACTTTATTACCTTAATCAAAAACATACTTATAACAAAAATAAAAAAAGCAGGTTACAAAAGTTATAATTAAAAATTAAACCAAATTTAAAAGTTTGGACTCTATTTACTAATCATTTAAATTAACCTTTAAAGCACCAGCTCTGGGGTTACTGGTACTATCTATCTACAGGCGCCAACTTAAATCTTTAATTAGCGCCTGAGCTCTTGAACCCCACGGCCAAGAGTCTCTATTCCAAAGGGAACAAAATCGAAGTTGGAGGAAAGCCTCTTATATTTGAGCCGTTTTCCGCCCGCTCTGCGGCCGCCCAAGCTTTTTTGCTTGTCCGAGGGAGGTGAGACGGGGCAAACGTGTCCACACAAGTAGCATCCCATACCAAAGCCCGTCCCAACTTCCCAGGTATCAACGACATCCCATCTGGCCGCTTGCCATCATCTCTTGCGATGCCTGTTGATGTCAAATATGGCATATGGAATCTTGGCATCTCCTTCATCAAATTTAATCTCCTTTTTTTTTAAATTACACTTGAAATGACTACACGAAAATTTAGAATTCATTACTTTAATTTGTAAGTAAACAATTTAATCAGTTAATTTAGGTTATATTTAACCGAAGTAATTAATTATCCGCTACCGCAATTAAATTTTTCCCTATTTAATAATAGTTATATTATAGAGAAGAGTTATATTATAGAGAAGAGTTATATTATAGAGAAGAGTTATATTATAGAGAAGAGTTATATTATACAGAACCATAGTATATTATAATAATTATGACATACAATTTGTAGCGGCTTTCCTTTAGCACGTGCGAATTTTATTAGGTTCCCATACGATTTGCATAATATTTTTGCTTATTCAAATTCTATACGCTTATCGCTATATCACCGGACGTAACTGCATAATGTCATTGTTCTAAGCCAAAAAATTGATCTGTCAAATGCTTTAAAATAAACACGAATTTATTAGCTAAGTGATTATTGCTAGCAAGATTTCGCGCAAACTAGAGACAGTGTTTTCATTGAATACTTCGTAATATATTTTGATGTTCAGTTAACTTTTCCTCTATAGAATATAGGATCTTTTAAAGCAAGCTTTTAAGCCAAGAATAACTTCTTAAGGCTTATACTGCATAAAATGATATATATTTCGCTTCCCAGCTAAACAGGAGTATAGGCACAGACTGCACATCACCATTTTTACCATGGAGAGTGATCAGAGATGTTCGGATTAATACCCGCAGCTCAATTTCATCATCGGACGTCGAGGCAGAATACAAAATTCCACCTGTATCACCTCGACGTCCGTCGTTCGACAACCGCGCACCACCACTATGTAGAACCAGTTGCCCAGTGAAGTATTTACAACCAATTCGACTTAGGATATTTCAAGAAAAGAGCGTACTAATTCTTAAAATGCAGAGTGTCCATGGGCGGCGGTATCACTTAACATCAGGTGAGCCTCCTACCCGTTTGCCCCCTGTTCAATTAAAAAAAAACAGCTTTAATCTTTGTACCATTACGGACTTGTAAATTCCGTAGGATTTGGTTAGTCATGGTAACATTAAAAATATATATAAAATATTATAGATAAATTCAAAGTATGTTATTCCCGTTCGGCGCTATCAAAGCTTTTTCTATATCACTTCAAAACACAGAAGAAACGTTGTCTTAGACAATTGCTTATTCAAAACACAGCGTCCTGTAAGGGTAGCCAGTTGGAATTGAGCTGTGTTCCGAGGCGATCGTGCTACGGATGCGATATCTTATCATTATGGAAATACAGTGGTTGTTTGTGGTGTTGATATTTGAATTTACTGCGAGTGGTTTAAAAATTGGTGAGCCAAATGTGTGCCAGTAAGTTTTTGGTTTAAAAATTAGTTTCTTCATACAATTAAGTCAGTTTAATTATTATTATCAAAGTGTCAACACAAATTATAAGTATTGTATGTAGTATTAGGTGGCTATCAGAAACACGTGGTAAACAATTTTAAAAGAATAGCTTATAAACTTAATAAAATTTTGAATTACTAAATATAGCTTTTAATAGAGGCTCATGATTCATGGTTTTTTTAAGTACGTAGTAGATATCTTTATTTATTTAATAGAGTTAAAGAACTATTGGGTCCCCGGTCAAACATAAATTTGTGGTTTTGCTTCTAGTATTCTCAACCGTCATATATGCCTTGAATTGTGCTGTCCGTCTTAGGATGAAGACGGACTTAGCTGTTGCGATCTAAGCAAATGCTGTATTTGTCACATGTCTCGGGCTTAAACAAGCTTGTATTAGGTACATGAACCATTAAGTGCCTATTAAGTTTGACTTTTATCTTTGTTGAGCAGTGTTGGCCTAGTGGCTTCAGCTTGCGACTACGATCCCTGACGTCGTAGGTTCGATCCCCGGCTATGCAACAATCGACTTTCGGTCGAAATTAAAAAAGGAAACAATAAAATTTATTCAATACATTTAACTAAGTAATACCTAATTTGTGTACCTGTGTTGTGTGATGGTGTGAAAGTGAGGGAATGTACGTGAGGGAGTGTGTGTGCAGTTTGCTCCTGATGCAGGTGATTTAGCGCTATGAATATTCTTAATACTCCTTTAAATCATATTCCGTGATAGCTTTTAAGCTTAAATGTGGGTTGTATGTCCGTACTGCGCGTTGGTTTATTTAATGATTCACAAAGGCTAATCATTTTATATGTATGTATGTTGTTAACAATTAATTACCAAATCAAAATAGTACTTTACTAAGTGTTAATTAAGATAATTAAGGTTACGAGGTAGATGTAGAAAATCGTTTATTTAATTTCAAGTTTTTAATGCAATGTAGAGTTTCGAAGGTTTTTAGGGAATTATTAATAACAGTTTCGGGTTGGAAGGACCCTATTATGGATGCGGTAATCGGGTTTTTTTTTATCTTTAATTATAATTCTATGTGAGCCCGATTAAGCCTTTAACATTGCAAACTACAATACACAGATTTTATGTATTCATAACACAAAATGACAGTACTAAATAACTTGCTTTTGTTTTTCAGGTATGGGCGAAGACGTGTAAGTTATTATTACTATTATTTCGGATAAAAATTAACATTTGACATGAAAGATACGAGTATGCTTATTTGTTCTGTCTATGACATATTATAGAACAACATGCGTTATTACTCATCATTTGTATTAATTTTCAGAAAGCCGGTTGTTGTATCGGATACACATATGATAGTAGCAGTAATTCCTGCCGTGCAAAATGCAAGGACGGCTGTATCAATGGTACGTGCGTCACACCAAACAACTGCGTCTGCACACCACCATTAGTCCTTCTCAATGGGAATAAATGTGTTAACCCCATTTGCGACCAACCCTGTACCCATGGACAATGTACTTCAAGAAATGTCTGTACTTGCGAGACAGGATATGCACACGTCGATCAGTTTACATGCAAACCAGTTTGTGACCCAACCTGTGAAAATGGAAATTGTGAAGCCCCAAATATATGTACTTGTACCGTCGGCTATACATTAGTCAACAGAACTTGCCAACCTGTATGTAACGAATGTTATAACGGCGAATGTATCGCTCCAAACGATTGTAAATGTAATACAGGATATACGAAACAGAATAGTATCTGCCTGCCTGATTGCCAACGTCCTTGCGTTAATGGAATTTGTTCTGGACCTGATAAGTGTTCATGTAATGTCGGCTTTGCTATCAATCCTTTGGATAGATTTAATTGCCAACCCGTCTGCGAAACACCATGCGTTAACGCTACGTGCGTTTCTCCCGGCACGTGTTCTTGTTTCTCTGGATATTTGCCGCTTAATGATACAGTCTGTACACCAAAATGTGACAACTGTATACACGGAGATTGCATAGCTCCAAACGAATGTAGATGTCATAAAGGCTATGTTTCAGAAAGTGGTAAATGTGTACCGAAATGTGACGGTTGTAGTAATGGCATATGTACAGCTCCAAACACCTGTGATTGCGATGATAGATACAGCCTTTCCAATGGCACCTGCAAACCAGTTTGCAATCCTGAATGTGTTAATGCAATGTGTGTTGGACCAAATCAATGCAGATGTTTTGAAGGTTTCCGAAGTAGCAATAGCTCAACTTGTAAAAGACACTGTGATAACTGTGAAAATGGAAAATGCTTGGAAGGGAATTATTGCTTTTGCAACGAGGGGTACAGTTTGGTGAAAGGGGTTTGCACTCCAAGCTGTTCTTTGCCTTGCGTAAATGCAAGATGTGCGGCACCGAATACTTGCGAATGTCTGGAAGGCTATAAACGAAATGAGACATCACCTAATAGCTGTTTCAAAGCCTGCATCTGTGAAAACGGCAGATGTATAGAAGATACATGTATTTGTGATGCTGGTTACGAGAAGTTGGATGGTAATTGCACTGAGATAAGACCGTGAGTATTAAATTAAATATTGAAAAAATAGAGGTTGACGATTTATAAAATATGTAGATATTAATTACTTTGAAATTATTCGTTAATAATCGTATTAGGAAAACTATAGAGGCTCTCATCCCTGAGTTCGTAGGTTCGATTGTGCAAAAAAGAACTTTCTATGTGCGCATTTAACATTCGCTCGAACGGCGAAGCAAAACATCGTCAGGATACTTGCCTTAGACCCAAAAAGTCGACGGTGTGTTCAGCACAGAAGGCTGATCGCCTTGCCTATTAGATTGCCAAATCATGAAACGCCATTGATATATTTGCAAAGAAAGTGGTACATTTAGATCGATTAATTAAAAAAATCTGCTCAATCAGCCATGTAAAAGTAGGTGCGCAAATGTCTTATTAATTACCATAATGTATAATAGAACATTAACATTATGTCATCATAATAAGTTATTAATAACTGTTTAATAAAACACTATTTTTACAGCGTGCGTGGTCACGCAAGCTGTAAAGCACGCGAAACGTCGGATAATTTTAAAATTATGTTAAATAGTTGTAAATTTATAATAATACATAACTTCAATCCGGTCAAAATAGTGTTTTATTAAATGAATAAAAGTTATGTTAATCAAAGACAATACTATATTAATAACTGTTATCAAACTTATGGTCTAAATAGTCGCCCACGCTATAAAGGCACCTTACCTTAAAAATTTAATCACCTTCCGAAGACCTTTAACCGATTTATAAGTTAAGCTACAGAGAGTTAACGTATTTCATATACTATGTTCCGTTTCTATCGACACCTGCTTTATTCTCATAACATAAATATGTTTTAAATCGAGAACAATCATGTTTGTAAAATCTTCAGCAGAATCTGTTTAACATTAACATTCATGTTTATAAATAATGTTTTTGCCTCAAAATTAACTTTGATGAACCCATGAGCATTATGAATGTTAGTCATGCATATTTTTGTCACAAAGTACAATTAAATACAAATGTTGGGCATTTTTAAAACACACAAGCAAAGTTTTTTTATTTTTAAATAATTTTACGTAATAATTTAATAATAAGTAGGTATCATTCAATTAGTTAATTAATAATCGTTATTTTTTTTGTCAACAATATCATTATTTTAATTTTTTTTTATATATATAAATTACAGTAGCAACAATTGCCTTACAAGTATATAGAAGCCCTTCAATCTTGTCCTTTTATATGTATTTATATCCTGGGTCTATTAAGACTTATGTACGTACGGCACTGAATTTTAGCGAAACCAACTAAGGAGGTCCTTCTAAGGATAAAAGTCAGATTACAGAATTAGTTTTATTTGACTCAAGTATATCAAATATAATAAGTTTTTGACATATAGGAGTAGACCTAAAATTGACCTAAACTGATATGCCTTTAGACCTAAAATCGACGTGTCAGGTATACGATCCATAATGCATAGAATCATAAATGAAATATGCCACGTTATAAGCGTTTGAATTAAGATTTTTTTATAAATTGTCTCTGCAAAAAGATACAATTTAACGATATAGCCCAACGTCAGACTAATAAGTAATATAAAACTAACCTAATTTACTAATGTATATATTTTAATATAAGAAAGTGTCCAATAACACTACTTACCGTCTCTATTAAGGGGAAGACACTCTGTTTTTTAAATATAATTAATAGATGAATATATAAATAAATTATTTTATTAGTTGTTTAAAGGTATTAGGGTAATAATAAAATGGTTAGCAAGGTAGAAGCAAACACTTAATAATTTAGGAAGTTGTCTCATTGGCAATCGTGTAGCATACTGTTCTTAAGGGGGGGCCGTTGGCTGGCCATGCGTCATACTCGTGAACGGGTGCTACTTGTGGTGACTGGTCGTACTTTAATTAGTGTATGCGGTGATGTTAGTTATTGCGACTAAGTTAGGTATTTGTGTGTTGTTCCCACGACAATGTTAGTGCGTGCTCCTATTTCACCATGCCTCCTGCTGATAGAGGACAAATCTTTGTTTTTTATTTATTTTATTATTATTTATTACTTAAGATGTCATGTGGAACATGGTGAAATGGTTGCAGCTCCTTACAAACGTTGTATAAAACAAAAAACTTGGCGATTAAAAAGAGTGGCGGAGAGTTTATTGCTAGTATTAATTTTTTGACGTTCATAAGTGTACATTGTGATACCTATATGAATAATTGATTTTGTCTTTGACTTTGACTTAATAGAACTAATATATATCAACTGTTACATACCTATTCATATTATGGTTAAGAAAATACCGCTTAAGATAATCTATGTATGACTTTGTGTTTCAGAGTGGAATGTAAAACTTGTGAGGGAGAGTGTTCGGATGGCATATGTTGGTGCAAGGATGGCAAGCCATGTTACCGTTTAGAAGAGCCAGCTGAAGTTGGAGCGCCTACAAAGTAAGCTATAATTATTCTGATATATGTCCATGAGAATGTTTATGTTTTACAACCCTTAAAGTATATCATATAATAGTTTAACCTTCTAACACTAACCTTATTGACGTCATGTTAACTTAGTCGAGTCGAATTGTGTCCGGTAATTTATTTATTTATATTAAAGGTTCTAAAGCAACGTGTATGCATAAAATTATACAAAAACAAAACTATATAGAAACTTAAATCTCATTAAGAGCGTGGTAAACAAAGTTACGGTAAGTTGGAAGATTGTGGTAAAATATAGTACATATTTTCTCTTGAAGACTGATATATATGATATACAATATGAAATTTATATATTATAATACTGTAATTCTATTAATATACGTATTATAAAAGTTTTCAAATATAAGCACGCACTATCTTCACCCAACGCTTTTTCTTCTTCAGAGGCCCTTTCATCTTTAACCACTTCCTTAAAAACAAAATTACACTTTCGATTCAAAACTTTATACGTTCACTAACAATCTTAAACAACTTCTCTGCCTGTCCTATGTTGAAACGGAAAGTATTTTTATGGTCCAACAATAATTTAATTAAAAATTGTGTTATTTAGAAATTATTGTCAAGTACTTGAATTCGTGTATGCGGTGATGTTAGTTAGCTATTTCGACTTCGATTTGCGTGTTGTTCCCACGAGAATGAAAGTGCGTGCTCCTATTTTACCATACCTCCTGCTCATAGAGGACAAATCTTTGTTTTTAATTTATTTTACTAATATTTATTACTTAAGATGTCATGTGGAACATGGTGTAATGGTTGCAGCTCCTTACAAACGTTGTGTAAAACAAAAAGCTTGACGATTAAAAAGAGTGGCGGAGAGTTTATTGCCAGTTCTTCTCTTCCGTTCTACGCCCTTGATTTGAGAACTGGCAGTAAATGTTAAGTTAGAAGCATTTAATGTATATTTATTTTTTGACGTTCATAAGTGTACATTGTGTTACCTATATGAATAAATGATTTTTGACTTTGACTTGACTACAGTTAACATGTCTAATGGAAGAGACAAGCTGCCCACGACACAGGGTATCCTAGTGTGGGGGCTAGTGTACTTTCTTTTTAACTAAACATACTTTTTATTATGTATAATAATAACGTTTTCATATCACATGCATTGAAACAGCAAGTTTTGATCTCTGTTTTGCCAGTCGAAACAAGACAATTTCAGACCAATGCGACTGTTCATTTATTTATTATTTATGTCTTTATTTCAAGTCTATCAGAATTGCATTTATTTATTTAAAAAAAAGCGAATAAAATCATAATCAAAAGTCGTCGTTTTATAACATGTGATATGAAAAATACAGTGTGTATTCGCTCGGGCAGTCAACTCTCGCCCTCGTCAGAAATAGCCTTGTTTCACGCCTAGTCACACAATATAAAAATTTTCTATCTTTCTATTTTTCACTATAGTTTATCGAATTGATGTACTCATTTTCGAATATAAATAATAGTTTTAGACTATTCCGAGTGTTGAATACTCAGACAAAATCAAATATTTTCAGATTGGCAGGTCTGGAGCTGGGCTGGCTCCTTGGTGGAGTTGTGGGGTTGGCATTACTGAGTTTGGTGATAATAGTGATGGGTCACATTTGGCGGAAGCGACGAGAATACGGCGTGAAGGAAACTGAAACAGGTATATAACTTATAGAGAGATTTTTGATTTTATAAAAAAAGTAAATTTAAAGTACTCGATCAAACAGTAGTTGATACGTCAGTTGAAACAGTTGCCGTATGAAAATCATTATATTCATATACGCAACGCTCAATAAAAAAAAGAAACAAATGTACTACGAGTTCTCAAATCAACGATAGGAACAGCTTTGCGATTCTGTCACTCACTTTTCGAAAAGGTGGGAGCTTGTAGTTTATTGTTTATCAGAATGCCAAATCATAAAATGACTGCTTCACGACTGATTTGTGAGCGACCGCCGATGCGAAAACCGGTATGTGAGTTCGAAAAGTGAGTTACAGAATCGCAGGGCTGGTAAGAAACTCTTTTCCAATACTTATCTATTATTGGAATAAGAATATAAGTTCCGTTAAGTTTTGCATAAAATATTTTTTAAATAGCTAACAAGATATCCTTAGAAGCCTTTGTAATACGTTCAAAAATAAAATATTGATTTTAATATGGCAACACTAAGCTCTCAAAATAAGTATCATGTTGTAAAGGCGGTAATAAAAATGATCATTAATAATAAGCAATGTACATAAAGTAGCTACCATCTAGTTATTTAGTTAATTTTAAATCGTACGCCGTAATTCGCGATAATAATTATCAAGCTCCGTTTTTGTGCGTTTAAATTGATAACGAAATTTCATAATGTAATGGAACCGGCTTGAGTATTTATCGTTTATAGACTTAACGTTTCTGATTATCAATTTTTTAAATTTTTTATTTGAACTGTTTTTATTCTCCTTCATGATTGTTATATTAGGTCCTTACATATGAAATTGGCGTTTTGTATGGGAGGAACAAAAAGTCGAATATTTTTAAATATAATATATTTATTTAATCAAAGTATGAACCATTGTTTTCTATGCACTTTTGCCATCTTATAGGTAGTTCATTGATCCCTTTACTAAAAAAACCAGTCGGACGGGAATCAATAGCGATTTGGTGTGCCCCATCAGAGTTAAATTTTTTCCCTTGCAAGAAGTTGTCCAAATTTCGAAAAATATGGTAATCTGTTGGAGCAAGGTCCGGGGAGTACGGAAGATGTCTTAGACATTCCAATTGAAGCTCTTCTAATTTGGTAGCCGTCTGTTGTGCAGTGTGTGGTCTAGCGTTGTCGTGAAGTAGCAGTGTTTGCTACTTCACGACAACGGACGGACAGCAGGATTTGGCTGGCTGGCCAGGATCCAACCATTGCGCTGAGCGCTTCCGATTATCGTAAAGAATTCATTTTTCATCACAGGTAATGATTCGGTTTAAAATACCTTCATTATTGTGCCGGTTCAGTAATGTAACGCAGCAGTCGACGCGCGTTTGCCGGTTTGCTTCAGTCAATTCGTGAGGTACCCATCTTTCAAGCTTTTTAATCTTCCCAATTTGCTTTAAGTGAATTAAAACAGTTTTATCACTAACACCGCAGCCTGCAGCTAACTCGGAAGTGGTTTGCGATGGATCCGCTTCCACAATAGCCTTCAATACTTCATTATCAACTTGGGTCTCAGGCCGTCCACGGGGCTTGTTCTGCAGGTCGAAATTTCCAGAACGAAAACGTTGGAACCAAAATCGAACTGTGTTTTCTTTTGCAACATGACCGCCATACACATCATTCACCCTTCGAGTCGTTTCCGCAGCACTAGTGCCACGGCGGAACTCGTACTCGTAAATAATGCGATACTTTAAGTTTTCGCAAACAGAAAAAAACAAATGAATGACGCTCATCGAAGCACAAATACATGAGTAAATAGCTGTACAAATTTTAATTTGGAATTCTTATCCAAAGAGGAGATATTTGAGGTCAAAGTGGCCAAAACGTAAACGCCAATTTCATATGTAAGGACCTAATATTTGCCTTGGAAACGAAAATTTCATCTCATGTGCGTACTCAATTAAAGTAATGTAAAAATGATGGATTTTGGAATTGAATAATATTTGTTGACTATGATCTATTTAAGCGTATAAGCGGGTGCTACATTTCGTAAGCGTTCCCCATATTCAAATGATTTTTTATATATATTTGTGTCTTCACTGTTACTTGGAACATTACAATATACCCTAACTCAGGACTAATAAGTAAATTGCTTGAGGCAAATTCACTTTATTATTCTCTCTACACTCTTCCATTGTACTTGTTCTTTTTCATGAAACTTTGGAAAACACCATCAAAGTTATGGTTTGCCGACGCCATATTGGCAGTATGAAGAGTTTCGTCAAAATAGTCTACAGGCTAGGCAAGTAATGAAACGTCATCGATCCCAGTCATTTGCCTAGCTGTTTCATCAAGTGGCTGAACATCTTTCAGGCCGCTAGTTAAAGGGCGCCGTTTAGTTAAAGGCTAGGCTGTTAATTGAACGGCTAATTAAGCTAGTTGGCTGCGACATATATACATCGGAGCAATGGCGCTGGTATCAGCTGCCATTGTCATTATAATTTAATAACATAAAGGCAAATTAATTCGAAACCGTTAAGTAGTTTATTTCATTTGTCAATCTGGAAATTAACAGATTTGATAGTCTTTAAAACAAAAAACTTGGCGATTAAAAAGAGTGGCGGAAAGTTTAATGCCAGTTCTTCTCTTCCGTTCTACGCCCTTGATTTGAGAACTGGCAGTAAATGTAAAATTAGAAGCTTTTAATGTTTCTTTTTTGACGTTCATTAGTGTACATTGTGTTACCTATATGAATAAATGATTTTTGACTTTTGTATTTATAGTAACTTCAGCTGAGGACCTTCCTGCACCATTATATAGGTGCTGTCGTTCCTGTGACATCTCTCTCTCTTATCTATTTCTTCCTACTCACTTCGTCATATATAATCTCTTATTCAAAACTTTCAGGTGGCAACGAAATCGGCAGCGTTGTATACACAGTACCTGATACGCTGTTAACTAGACGACCAGGAAGTATCGTGAACGTCTACGGCGAAAACGAAGATGAAAACGAAAGTGTGAACGAACCTCTACGACCAACGGACGAAGCCTTATAGTACTATTATTAGGGTTTATTAGAAATAGTATTCATTTTATTTTTAATTATGAAAGTGCTGCATTTTTTAATTATGGAATAATTGTTGAACGTCTTGCATAAGGCTGAGTCGCTTATTAAGGGTTAACGAATAATTTAGTTATTTATATTAAGAAGTTCAATATTATCAAAGTTTTCTACTGTCATCTGCTCTCTTAAACCTATCATGGTCGTTAAATTGAAGCGATCTTTTTTGGCTAAACGTCAAACTAAAAGGCTTGTTATGGATCAGACGATCAGTGTGTGCAATCGGAAAGCTACAGCCTATTTTAGAAATCTGTAGGCCGTAGTCAAAAATCCAAACATATTACCCAAATAATTGGTTAGATTATATAAAATAATAACCGACGCCAACCTATGATGACTTTAAGTAAGGCTGTAAGTTATAGATAGAAATCTTGGACGTTTATCCTTTAAATGTGATTGTTAAATGATGCGCCGCTTATACTTGCGCCACATATATGGTGGGTGTATTACTTCTTTAGAGAGACTTGGTGAACACCATAGAGTAGAAGATAAGTTTATTTTACCTATTGATGGGACGAAATGGGTACGTAAGTGATCTTTACCAAAGTATGTGTCCCTTAAAAGAACATATATTTCTGTTTTTTTTGATAATTTTTGTTATAATAAGCATATAGGCATTTTGTTACAACAACTCTTTTGGATTGAATTGTAAGATTCAATTTAATCCAAAAGAGTTGCTTTTCGCCGGAAAGCCAACTTCCGGACAATTCAAACCGTGCCTTGCGTTCGTAATTATAAAGTAATTCTATAATGTTATGTTATGTTGTGTTATGTCTATAAAATATGGTTCTAATGATATTTTTCTACTTTGTATGTACTTTTTTCTACCGAACCACATCACAACGCTTTCTAAAGGTGTTTTTGATATATACATATGTAAGTTAGGGACTCGTAGCTGTGCACAAATCTTGATTAATACTAAAACAATAGACGTTTAGTAATATTTTTAAAATTACACCGTCTAAGAATTACAACTAATTTCTTAGGCTCTATAATTTATGCCCAGTTCATCATGTTTAAATTTGACCTAGGGATATCCGTACTTCCTTCGTGGCGTGTTGGAGCGCTTAGTTTATTGATTCTGATCAGAGAATCTTCGTTTTGAGCATACTTACTATCTCATAAGCAGTATATTCACATATAAAAAAGTACAAATCTCAAGTACAAACTAAACGTTACTATAGGAGATTTTTGAGTCCTCATTTCTATCTGTTTTCTTCGCAACTCACCCTTGTGGAATTGTCATATTTCAGAACGATAGTTTTAATATTATTTATTATGTGTTAATAATAAGATTAAGGAATGCTATTTAATAGCCAGTATACATAAAATAGGAAAGAAGATAATTTTTAAAATTTGTTAATTTTATTTTCACGTCTTAAGATGTTTGTGCGCACCAATACGTGCATATTATATCTTATTTCGGCTATACAATGCACATAGGCGATAAGAACTTGGAGAAACTGATCGTGGTTGGTAACAGGCAAAAGATAACGTGGCCTTTCACCAACCAGATTGACTGATCAAGTGAAAGAATCATCAACACTATGCACTGTTATAAGACATGCGCTGGACAGAAACCGGTGGAAACAGATTGTCCGCTGTAGATGTTTCCTTCCTCACCACGTTGCTCAGACATGAGCTACCTGCAGAGAAATGTGTGTCATCATTCATTATTAATCTTGCAGAAAGAGATAAACTACCAGTAGAAAGTGTCTTTGATTTTCAATAAAAGATTACTTTAAATACGATATATTTTTATTTTTTTTATCATATTTTACTTTCTTGGAATAAACTGAAAAGCATATGAATTTTAATATTATTATAAAGATCATTTTTTTTTTTTTTTTTATAGAACGGGGGGCAAACGGGCAGGAGGCTCACCTGATGTTAAGTGATACCGCCGCCCATGGACACTCTCAATGCCAGAGGGCTCGCGAGTGCGTTGCCGGCCTTTTAAGAATTGGTACGCTCTTTTCTTGAAGGACCCTAAGTCGAATTGGTTCGGGAATACTTCAGTGGGCAGCTGGTTCCACATAGTGGTGGTGCGCGGCAAAAACTGCCTTGAGAAACGCTCAGTTGTGGAACGGCGGACGTCGAGGTGATACGGGTGGAATTTCGTATTCTGCCTCGACGTCCGATGATGAAACTCAGCTGCAGGTATTAATCCGAACAACTCCTCTGAACACTCTCCATGGTAAATGCGGTAGAAGATGCAGAGTGACCCCACATCTCTACGCAACGCCAAAGGATCAAGCCGCTCGGAGAGGGATTGGTCGTCAACGATTCGAACCGCTCTGCGTTGTATACGGTCAAGTGGAAGGAGCTGGTACTGGGGAGCCCCCGCCCAGAGGTGAGAGCAGTACTCCATGTGGGGCCGAATTTGCGCTTTATATAGTTGCATGCGGTGGCCCGGAGTGAAGTACCGTCTCGCCTTACTGAGCACACCAAGCTTTTTGGAGGCTAATTTAGCCTTTCCCTCCAAGTGACCGCGAAACTGAACGTCGCTCGATATGTCAACGCCAAGTATTCCAATGCTGGCTGTGGCTTTAAGAAGAGTGTTTTCGAAAAGAGGAGTAGCGACAAAGGGTGTTTTTTTAGCGGAAAACGCGCAAACTTGTGTCTTCTTGGGGTTAAATTGGACTAGGTTTTGTCTGCCCCAATCTGAGACTCCACGAAGTAGAGTTTCAACTTCAGACACAAGTTTGTTCCGGTACTCATCAACAACTGCCCGAGAAATACCTGCCCGGCCAGTGTAAAAAGTATCCCCAGTACTGTCATTCGCATAGCAATGAATGTTGCTAAGTTTCAACATATCATTGATATGCAGAAGAAATAGGGTCGGGGATAGAACACAGCCTTGTGGGACCCCAGCGTTTACGGGTTTTAGGTCGGAACATGCTCCGTCGATGACGACCTTGATGCTCCGATCGGCCAGAAAGCTGGAGATCCAATTGCGTAATTTCTCGGGAAGCCCATAGGCTGGAAGCTTCGAGAGCAGTGCTCTGTGCCACACCCGATCGAAGGCTTTCGCTATGTCCAAACTAACCGCTAGCGCCTCCCCCTTGGACTCAATTGCCTCTGCCCATCTATGTGTAAGGTATACAAGAAGGTCACCAGCCGAACGACCACGACGAAAGCCGTACTGATAATCGCTAATCAGCTGGTGGCCCTCTAGATACCTCAAGAGCTGGCAATTAACAATGGATTCCATTATTTTGGAGAACAAGGAGGTTATAGCTATTGGGCGATAGTTGGACGGATCAGAGCGATCGCCTTTTTTAGGGATCGGATGTATCAAAGCGGTCTTCCAGCACTTCGGGACAGTGCCGAGCGAGTACAGGTACCGGAAAAGGCGCGTTAAGACCGGAGCCAACTCAGGAGCACAAGTACGCAGCACAATTGGGGGGATACCATCCGGCCCGCTCGACTTATGAATGTCCAAGGAAGATAGTGCTTTGCGGACAGCACGTTGCCGGAATGTGATTTCCGGCATCGAAGAATCACACCGCGAAATGGTCGGTGGTGATCTCCCTCGGTCATCCAAAGTCGAGTTAGACGCGAAAAGACAGCACAAAAGGTCAGCCTTCTCCTTCGCAGTGTGGGCCAGAGAGTCATCCTCCCTGTGCAGTGGCGGAATGGCGGGCTGACAAAAATACCCTTGGACAGCTTTGGCGAGAGACCAGAAGGCTCGAGTCCCTGATGGGAGTTGGGCCAATCTCTCGCCAAATCTGGCAATGTGCTCTGACTTTGCCTTAGTGATTTCCCGTTTGAAGGACCTGGAGGCTGAGTTATATGCTTTTTTAAGTTCGCTGGTATTGGCATCACGAGATTTCGCCGCTTCCGCCCATGCCTTAAAGCATTCTCGCTTTCGACGCGAGGCCGCCTTGCAAGAACGTTTAAACCAGGGCTGAGACTTGCCACCGATCGGCACCGCAGAAAATGGAATAAAGAGTTCCATGCCCTGCAGAACCACTTCGGCGACAGAGGCGGCGACGGAATCTGGAGCTTCCGGCGAAAAGCACATAGGCCCCCAAGGGTAGGACGCAAAGAAAGACCGCATCCCGTCCCAATCTGCTGACTTATAGTGCCAAATACGGCGACAACCCATAAAGCGGGGCCGTGAAGGGCGCGTAGATGGCACAGTACTCCGGACCACACAATGATCTGATGAACCCAATGGCGGGTCAACAGAGACTTGATAGTTCTCCGGATGAGAAGTCAGCAGAAGGTCCAACAAAGAGGGTTTATGACCATCCACATCTGGTATTCGCGTAATCGCAGGGACCATTTGTGTCAGGTCGTAGGCTAAAGCAAAGTCGTGAAAGGATCTTCCCGCGTGATCGGTGGTTTCAGAGCCGAGCCAATCGGCATGGTGGGCGTTAAAATCGCCAAGTATCACGATTTCAGCGGTAGGAACCCTTTCGAGCAGGGAATCTGTAGCCATCATTTTTTAAGAAACATAGGCTATATATATTTCAAAAATATTCTTTAAAAATAAATAAATACTCAGCCGACATAGATCGCTACTATTCATACAAATGAAAATAAATCTTCGAAATATGGTTAGGCGTATAACTTTCAAACGACTGTACCAAATTTTTTTTGTTGTTTGATAGGAAAAGGTTTGTATAAAAAACCAGGGGTTATAATTCTTATTATATGAAAAGAGAGTCAGTAAAAAGGGACAGAAGACTGAGATAAATATATGTATATACAAAATATTGAGACGCACACTAAAACTACACTGACTAAAAACAATTTTAATCAAGCATATATGTATACAGGATAAAATATAATTAATTCATATCTATCAATTTTGTTTAAATAATATCGTTATAAACATGTGATAATATGCTTACTACGGGGAAGAATGCCATTCTCATTGCCACAAACCATCTTCTTTTACGTCTTCTAAAGTCTATATGCCATCTCTTTTCGAAGGTTGGCTTTACTTTAATTTTGGATGCCGTGCTTCTGAACAATGACTTGGTGCTTTGACAAACCATTGCCTAAGAAAGAAAGATTCTTCAACCAAGACGTCTGTCTGCGGCCAGATCTCCTTCTACCAGCCATTTTGCCTTGTATGATTAGTGGGAGAAGCATAACTCTTGTCAACTATCATAACACCATGCATGCTCGTCGGTTATGGGTGCTTTTGACGTGTCTCTTCTCTAGTACTTCATGGATGGATGGACAAGGCCTTCCCGACCTGTCTTCAATATCCACGGTTGCCTTGTATGCGATCATGCTTTCTTTATAACCCAACCAACTAAGTGTTCCTTGTCACTACGTCCCTTTTTATTCCATAACGTATCTCACTCTTGCTTATCCTATAACGTAATGTTACCCCACACATACTTTGTAATATTATCATTTCAACGGCATATGGTACTTAAATTTTTTCTTCGTAACACACAACATTAACTACCATACATTGTTTACATATTACCAAAGTGTTTTATGAGCTCCTGCCATTTCTCCGCCATAGACGAAAGTATCACTTCATTGTCAGCGTATAGGTGACAATTCACTAGTAACTCTTTCAAATCTTTCAAAGAGCCCTTTAATAAGTTGAACAGATACGGGAAGGTAACACAACCTTGTCTCAGTCTTATCGATAGGAAACCAACTTGTTTAGGCTCCGTTGATTCTGACGTATGCTATGAGAACGCCTGACTGAAATACACAAAGCTGTCAATATTCATTCTCGTCTTATCCAAATCTACAAAAGTACAGAAACTTTTCTACAATACATCGTAAAGAACATGATCCCATTGTCACATCCTACACTTTTTCATGTCTCTTTTATCATTCTTTCAATTAATACATACAATTTTCCAACGACGGTAAGGTGATTTATTCGACTAATTCGATATTTTTGCAATCTTCTTGTGACCCTTTTGCTTTTCAGTGTGATGATGACAGATTTTCGCCAATATTTCCAGCAGAAGACTACATCGCGCCCAGCGTTAGGCATTTCTATGGTTTGACTTTCCGGGTTTGATTACCTTTAAAACTTCCACAAACTGTGGCACTTTTCTCGCCTGTATACGTTTAAACATAGTTTCAAGCAACAGGATCCTTGTGAAATAAACTTTCAAATACTTTATTGAACATGCTATCGCCATCCACAATTCCTCCGCCTTCGTCACGAATACAGACAATCTCGGATTGCTTCAGACGTCTTGACGGTCTTCCAGAAAATACATATTGGTTCGGAATCTTCTGAGAGATAAATTCAAGGAATTTAATATACTTACCTTTCCCTCGCAATATCTTTATGAAAATATTATGTATGTATACTAAAATAGTGATAAGTTTACTAGAATAGAACATACGCACAATGTTAATACTCGGAAAAAATGAAGGCTGCAATTTCCCCGCACTAGACTATCTAAAGTTAGAAATTATTTTTTGGGAAAAGGGATACTCTTCTTTAACAAAATCCCAGAGGCTTTTTTAGCTCGGCCTTTTAATAAATTTAAGAAATGTACTAAAGAAAAGCTGTGTATAAAGGCTTACTATTAAGTTCACGATTATCTAGTTGATAAAAGGCCTGGGACTAGTGCTAGACAGGCTAGTTCTAATTAATATGCGATATTTGATTTAAGATAAGTGTTGTTTGATGATTTGCTATTTTAAAAGAGTACCGAGAGTTTTTACGCTGCTTTTTCTCTCGGCCCTTACACCCTCTGTCCTTTTTGCCGATGAGTAGGGATTTCTACCGATTCAAAATTAATAACGTGGAATAAGTGATACCTGTATCTTATGTTCCATAATAAACATATTTTTATTTTAGAACTAATAAGAAAGTCTTGTATATAATTAATATTTGACCTCTTTTATATTGAATAAAAAATAAAAAAATAAATCAGTGGCGCTACAACCTCTTTAGGTCTTGGCCTCAGATTTCTGAATCTGTTTTATGATAATTTTTAAATCTAATAGACAAGAAGGTGATCAGCCTCCACTGCCTGACACACGCCGTCGACTTTTTTGGTTCTAAGACATGTCGGTTTCCTCATGATGTTTTCCCTAACCGTCCGAGCAAATGTTAAATGCGCACATTGAAAGAAAGTCCAATTGGTGCACGGCCGGGGATCGAACCTACGACTTCAGGTTCATACTATCGACTCTCATGAGTCGCACGCTGCAGCCACTAGGCCAACACTGCTCTGCTATATTGGATATTCAAGGTAATTAAAAATTTTCTTCTCAACAATTAAGTAATGTCGACTTTTAAATTAGACGTAGAAATTGAACTAGGTAACTCAGGAAGCTAAAATGAATGAAATCCTGTGTTTTCTGTCCGTTTGTTTTATAAATAGCACTATTCAAATGTACACATAGAAATATTAAATTGGCTGGTGGAATTCGGGGCAGAGTTGTAAATCACACGATAAGACAGTCGGCTTACTAGGTATAGGAAGACTAAATGTTTATATTCTAGTGTATATTTTGTTATATACTATGTAGGTAGGCAACGCCTCAGTATATAATAAGGTTGTTTGTAAGTTTAGCCTCCGTTTTGATTCCTTGCATTGAAAACAAATTAGGTTTTATTCAACATAATAATAACTTAATGCCGAGTCTTAAATTTATGCGATAGGTTTCCCTCTCGGAATACATATGTTGGCTGTGAATTCCTAATTAACTGTATAGGGAAAATGTAAATGATAAAATTGCCTTGATAACTCCTTTATTATAATTAATAAATTATTCTATTATAAAATTTTGTTATCATTTTTGTAACGGCTTTTTCGTAGGCATCCGAAAATGTGGTTAACAAAGAATAAAAAACTCTAAAAAACCAATAAACGTCTCTGGACTGGTCCGAAATAAGTATTTAGTATAAGATGAAAAAAAAAGTGAAATTGATGATCACGATTTTTTTTTGTAATCGCAAAATTGTGAAAGTTGGTTAAAAATCTACGTAGGTTTTCTACCCTACAATTTTCCATATAATATGTAACATGTATCTAACAGATTTATAATCTCATCTTTAAAATTACCTAGGCGTTCTATGGTAAAAAAAACAATTAGGAACAAAAAGAAAGAGCTTCTTAGAACTCTAGATGATAGAATGATGATAGTTGCCATCAAAACAAATCAATATGTTATGGACAACTGAGGTAATATTATCTAAAACTCAAATAACATTCAAAAAAATCAAACCCTAAACTACGTGGATCAAAATAGTTTGTAATATATAGTTTCTAAAAAACAGTTATTACAATAACTGTAATAATAGATATCTTGCAATTAGCGCACTAATTAGAGATAGCCATGGCCGCAAGCTTGTAGAAATCTTGCTTCGTAGATTTTTCCAGATGTAAAACGAAATGCATTTAGTCAAAGCGTTTCTGTAACAAAATCTGAAACCATTCATATCATTTCATACAAATAAAAATCCTACACTGCTGTCAACTACCTATATCTATTTATACCCTAATAAAAGTTAAAAAATAAGAATACAGATATACTTGTTAATTGATATAAGCGGGAATTTATGTGAAGTGAAAAGAATTTTTAAATTAAAAATTAGAATCGAATTTATCGAATTCTAAATTCTGATGTTCTTTTGTTTAAAATATTATAATTCGATTAATTAGTAGTTATGCAATGTAAAAAATGAAGTATAAAATATTTTAGCTACTAACTATATAAGGAAATTATTTTAATCGCTGGGTTTTTTGAGTTTCTCTATATATAAGCCTCGTTATTTATAAAATTCGGTCATTTGACCCTAAGCACCCGCCGTGACCAGTAAGATTGCAATTCAATATGGCGGCTCGCGTGTTTTCGACGATAGCTGCTGTACTTGTGAGTATTTTATTATATTATTTTAACTTGTCCTTTATTTTTTTTTTACTAATATTATCTTAATGTTTTCTTTTAGGATATTAAAAAAAAATAATCTTAACTTATGTTTGTTAAGACGTAAATAAATTCGTGTATTACTTTAAAATAGCCATTTTAATGCTATTTAAATTTTACTTTCGATTTTCTTTCTGTTTACGCACAACGGACCTAGTGAGAGTCCACAAGTTTGCGTGTTATTTTACGTTGATATTTTTTTATGAATTCATGTCTACATTCTACGAATGTTTATTTCAGGTACTTCAGTGTTGTATGAGGTCTTTAGCAATGTAAGTACTGAATTCATATTGATTGGTAAGCGCTATAATTAATAACGAACCAATCTCTCTTAAATCATGGAATTTGTGGTCGTACGAATTTCATACCATTTTTCATCAATTTAATGCTACACTCATTTTATAGCATAATTATGTCTTATTACAAGATTTACTGGTATTTTGGGTCTAGAAAACTTATTTATTGTTCATTAACAGGCCAGCAGAACAAGAAAAAACAAGCAAAGTCTCCTTAACTACACTGGCCACTGAACCAAAACCCCCTTCTTCTACCCCGCTACCCGTTACACCAGAAGCGAGTTCATCAATTCCACCGGCCACAACACCAAAAGGGGATTCTTCTACCCCACTATCCGTTGAACAAGAAACGAGTTCATCAATTCCACTGGCCACTACACCAAAAGGGGGTTCTTCTACCCCGCTACTCGTTACACCAAAAGCGGGTTCATCAATTCCACCGTCAATTATACCAGAAGGGGGTTCTTCTACCCCGCTACCCGTTACACCAAAAGCGGGTTCATCAATTCCACCGTCCACTATACCAAAAGTTAAACTCGAGGGAGATTCACCTGTGCTGCCACTCACAGTACCATCTTCAACAGTACCTCCAGGTAATGACACAGAAAATTAATTGAATATGTCTCGCATATGGCACCCTTAGATTTTGATAATAGATGTATGTGTTTGAAAGTTGTTATTGATTTTATAACATAGCAGCATAGGTTCATGTTGGAAACTACCATCATACTTGCTATGAGTAGTTGATTTTTCTAATTTAATAATCTATCACATCAGAAATCTCGAATTAGAAATAGAATTAATCTAGAGATAGGATTCGAAAACGGTATTTATAACGTATTATTGTACAACGGTCGAAGTCTAGGCTGCATACGATTATATACTCGTATTCAGAAACATTTTCTTGTCAAAGTTCGGGAAATCTTGTTTCAATTGTTTTTGGTATGATAAATGAGAAAACTTTTATATTAATCTGTGAATATTAAAATATTTTAATAATATCTGAAATTACTAGGAACATCAATTTAATAGAACTGTAAGGAGAGAATAATTTCAACTTCACATTGAAAAAAAATAGCAGTCCGAAATTTTTTATCAAATATTTAGTATCTGGTTTTTAATTAGTGATAGATTTTGACATATGTTATACAGTATATCATAGTTCCTGCTCGTTCCTGAATCTAACTTTTAAAATTTAATTAACTAAATATTTAATGTTTTTATTTTATTGAAATAATCAAAATAAAATTATTTTTTCAGTGACTCCGGCGTCATCAGGCTTGTAAGTTCAACCTTTTTAATACATCCTTAATACTCTAGTTCCTACGAGAACTCATTCGGAAATATTTAAAAGTACGATTTTATAAATTCGATTGCTAGTAGATAGTTTTCCTTTTTCCTAACAAGGAAAACTGTATAAATTTTAAATAAACTTGTGTTTCTTTCTTAAATACACGAAAGTTTTGAAATTCGTTATACACACTAGTTTCAAATTATATGCACATTAAATATGTAAATACTAAGGTTCGATTCGACCAAATTTCAATTTATACACGAGTAACTATACCAGGAATAATCTATTCCATGATTTTAATCTCGAGTAAATTCATAGTCGTTTCTCCACGTAATCGATAGTATAATTGAGCTAGGAATAACAATACGCGAATAGCAAAGAGAATGTTGAACGAAAATAAAACTCGGCAAATAAATTTTGTTCTACAACGGGACAGTGTAAGAGCATTCATCATGTCAACTCGATTTTGCCGTATTATAGTGTGAAAAAGTAGCTGTTAGGCAGGTGTCAAACGACAACAAAAAGTTTTTATTTGTTGTTTGTTTGAGGTTGTCGTCTAAAAAGGAACTTCTGTTGAGCCTAGTTGAATTTCATTCTAATATTATAGAAAATGAAAAAAAAATATAAATAAATAATAAATTGTTTAAACGTTTCATTATACAATGCCAAACTATTAATTTAGTGCGTTGCGTTGACTTGAAATGAAAACACAGAATACATATTTGTGAAATGACAGAAATCAGCTGATTGGACTGACTGACGCCATTAAATTATTCTAGGAATAGCTGTTATTCCGTGCGAAACGGCGGTATAGTTACAATTCCCGAATAGGCCCACTATTCTTAGAAATTGTAGATGGTAAAACGTAAAATTGATTTACTCTCGATTAACTGACGATTTATTCTAAGATTAAGATTTACTCTTGTTTGGTCGAATCGGCCCTAAAAAGTTTTTTCTTTAGAAAGTAGAACGTCACAAGTCCGGTTCAGTAAACCTGCGATTATTTATCTTATTAAAAGGAAAAGTAATTTTTTGTGAAGAAATCGGCAGCTTAGTAGGCCTGCTTGATGTATAGAAAACGGCAACGCAATTGCGAGTCTTCTGGCAATGTGATTGTCCATAGGCGGTATCACTTCCTCATTGACTCCTATTATTATCCATTAAATCTCTATTGCAGGTCTCCTGGTGCAACTGCAGCAGCAGTGATTGGAAGTCTGGCGGGAACTGGAATTCTTATTTTTGTGGGGAAAATGGCCTTCAAAAAATACTTTTAATATAAGTGTTACTAGTTTATAGTTAGTTTGTTATTATTGCAAGAATTAGATAATTGAAGCAGACGATCTTAGGATTCTACCTGCAACCAAAGTGTAGCCGAACCTTCGTTTTTACAGGGCAATGTAAAATATTTTACAGCAAGTGTAGAAAGAAAGTGGGCAAGTGGCGCCGGGCCGATACTTTTCAACTTAGAGTAGTGGCAATCTCAAAGTTTTTTTATGTTTCATTATCTGTTAATGCAAACTTGGCATCGCGCTGTACAAAAACTTAGTATGGAAGGAAGTAAGTCATAAAGTACCAGCACTGTAGACCGATGCTCTTAACACACACATTCATTTGGATCAAGCTGAAGTCTACGCGATACTGATTTTTTTTTGTATTGACATATTTTGAAAACTCTACAATCACGTAAACTGAAATAGGAACGGCCTTATTATAAAACGAGGACTAAAGATAGATGTACATCGTATAATAAATCGCCTAATCTACAAAAAGGAAAATATTATTTAATTTTTTTATGATGTTGCTAATATTACATTTGTTCTACTAAAACAGATTTCGTTAAATATTAGGCAAATAAAATTTATAGTAAAATGCCTTCGGAAAAGGGCCAATGATTAAAATTAAATGTAAAAAATAGACTTCTTATGGAAGCTATTTATAGTAAATAAATTGTAATAAAAATATCTGACTTTTTTCTCAGTCTGAATTGTTTAGGCACTACTTATATTACGTATGATTGATAGAATGTTGGAGAACATAATTATATACTGAATGACTGATAAATACAGTACGGAGAAAAAGCTCCGAAGACCGACTCTTTTTAATGCAGTTTTTGCCGCGCACCATCACTATGACGTGAAACCAGCTGCATGATGTATTTCCGAACCAATTCTTGTCCGGCAACGCATCTGCGAGCCCTCTACAGTGTCTATGGGTTATCACTTAACATCAGATGAGTTCCCTGCCGTTTGCTAAATAAAAAAGAAATACTTTATATTTTGAAATTTAAAGGGAATTATAGTTTTGTTTATAATCAAACCCAGAATCAATTGTGTAGCTACATCAAGTGTTAAAAAACAATATTTTGGATAAAATCCGTAAGTCGACAGAAGTAAAATGAAAACATAATGGGAGCATAGTACCAAAGGAATTGATTAGAGTTTGATTATGTGACAAAGTTTATTTTCATTATTCACTTGCTTAAGACACCAATTTTCTTCGACATTTTTATCGACAAAATTAATACAAAGGATTTCTTCCATAAATTACAATTAACAACTGGACTTGCAAGTCTACTGGCTTGGTTGAGAGTTGCAGAGTCAGAGACTTTGAGTTTGTCTACACGAATTTATCAGAAGTGCTCTTTTCTCTCTCTTTTCTATCTTAGCCGAGTTTATTATTATTACGATCAAATAGAGATAACAAGCACTCAGATATAAAGTGAAATGAGTCCATAGACTCACCAGAGCGGCTGTTGGAATTGACAAAACACATTTATCTTTTATAATATTTAGCAGTAGGTAACACTTTCATTCGTTGGTTATATACGTATAGTGGTTTTAAATAGAATGAAGATTGTGAAACGCCTATTTTTGTCAAAGATAAAATTATTTATTCATGAGTTATTCATAGGCATATGGCTTTGTTATTACAACTGAAACTTATCAACGCCCTTACAGCGGAAATTATATTAACATATCAATAATTATATATCTTTTTATTAGGGTGACAACAGTTTTTGTATTTTAATATTTTGTCAAAAATTAGTTAAAATTAACGTCCAAGTGCGACATTGATTTCGTTGACTGTAGTAAATTGTATTGAAAATTAAACGTAAATATACAACCAATTGTAATAAAATATGTTCCATCGGGGTACGGTCCTTTGTGAGATTAGATTACACCGTTACCAAACATGTAAATTAAATGTTTTTCACTTTTAACCATTACTTATAGTTCATTAGTACAATAGATAATAATTAATTAACAAGTCTACATAGGACGTTACATTTAATTTATACATCAGAACACAAGTGCTGATGTTTATTTTCAAGGTGGCAAACGGGCAGGAGGCTCACCTCATGTTAAGTAATACCGCCGCCCATGGACACATTGCCAGAAGGCTCGCAAGTGCGTTGCCGGACTTGTAAGAATTGGTACGCTCTTTTCTTGAATTGTACTAGCTAAGGCCGCATATTCTTTAAATAACTAAGTCATATTTATAGTAAATTATTATAATTATAACTGTATAGTATTTGAATTGAAAAATCATGGATTATAAATGCTTCAACGCGATTACTTTGCAGCAATAAAATGAAAAATATCTTAGGATTATTCTTCGGTCTCTAAAATGCGTATAACTATGTTTTTTAAATATATATAAAAAACAAATCGGTGGCGTTAAAACCTTTTTAGATCTAGGCCTGAGATTTCTGTATGTGTTTCATGATTATTTGTCAATCTAAAAGGCAAGTAGGTGAACAGCCTTCTGTGCCTGACACACACCTTCTATTCGTTGGGTCTAAGGCAAGCCGGGTTCCTCACGACATTTTCCTGAACTGTTCGAGCGAATGTTAAAAGCGAACATCAGAAAGTACATCGGTGCACAGCCTAGTTATGGCACTAGGCGAACACTGCACTTTTTCTTATATAATATATAAATTATTGTCTAAAGTTACCCACTTCATGCACTTTACCGAATTATTTCTCTTACAGTGTTTGCATTGGATCACAATTTGCTTGTTATAAAACTACCCGTTGCGCTTCAAACAATTTAAGATTTGTTAATAAACTTTTACCTAACGAACGAAGTAAATCGAAAATGTATAAGAAAATAGCAAAATTTCTGATTAAATATAATATAAACATCATTGTTGCCCTACATCAATTCGTCATTACAAAGCAATTATGGCTCATCAGTTATCATGTATTTCGCGAATAGTTAAGTGTTAAAAATGTATCGCATTGTATTTATTTTAGGTTCCCTTATATCGGTAGAATGCCAAGTGTGTACGAAGAGAGTAATGTAAGTATATCTCGTTTTAATTGAGGTTTTAGTTTTATGACTTAAAATTCAAAATCATTTATTCATTTAGATGACACAATGTACACTTATGAACGTCAATAAAGATATACCTACATATTAAATTCTTCTAATTTTACATTTACTGCCAGTTCTCAAATGAAGGGCGTAGAACGGAGGAGAACTGGCAATAAACTCTCCGCCACTCTTGTTAATCACCAAGTTTTATGTTTTAGAAAACTTTTTGTTTACTTATAACTGCTAATCGTTTATGTCTAAATAAGGTTCTATGTATTTCCTCACCGATTTGACTTAAGGCTTTTGTTTGCAAGAACTTAATTCTAAGTAACTCGCACTTCCTCATGTCCAATAGGGACGAAGGCAAATTAAACATTTGACCTATGTCTTACAGTAACACTTTATTTAATTATAATAATAATAATAAAGCCTGTTTGTTTTATTTCCAATCATGACAAAAACAAATTATAATACACAGCATAGATTATTTTACATATTTATATTTTTTTTTCTTTTGTTTGTTATCCTATATCCTAGCTACCTTCAGTACCGAGGGAACCCCTTCACGGGTATGGCTCTCTTTCTCCATTCGTTTCCTGCTACCGCTTCTATTCCTTCTATCTACCTTTTTTTTCGCCGGCCTCTTCTCCTTCTTCCTCTTGGTCCTTTCTATACAGTTGTCTTTAAAGTCCACCTTTTATCTGTTTTGTGTTATAATAATGTAATCAAACTAGGAGTCAACGCTGTACATTTTGCTCAGGCTGTACTTTTTTCTTAGTTCGCTTCGAGAGTATAGCCAGACGTAGGCACTCTCATCAACGGTTACATTTTATTCATTCGTTACATTAAGATTTCATTATTTCGCTTATATTCAACTGTTGTACGCGAGTGGTTAATATAAAGTAAAACTAAAATCCACTATTATTTAAAGCACCCCGATGACCCTGGAACCGTACATCGTATTTATATCGAAATAGCGAATAGTTATCGAATCCTCTGATTTCAAGACAATTACAATTCTATACTACTATATACTACTAGCAGACCGGCCAAGCGTTGCTGTGGCTAACGTTTTTGTTATATTACATAGTAGAAAACTATTCAAGGGAAACGGTAGGAGAACACTAGTCATGGGGACTACCATGCTTGTTGGTGGTTATGCCATTAAATTGTAGCTTATGTGAAACGTTAGTACTTTCAACACAGCGCCATCTGTTAGAATTGTGACTATCAAATAATACACAAATATTTTGCAATAAAATAATATTGCGGGTATAAATTGAGATGTAATCTATCCTATCTTTTAAGTTGGTTCAAACTACACACGGTGTGCAAATTTGATTGATATCGGTTCGGTAGTTTAATAGTCCATAGCGGACAATCAACGTGATACGTAATTTATATATATTAAGATATATATGGCTATCGAACATTTGGAATTTGCGGTAGCAAGGGGAAAGTTAATTTCTTCGAATTGAAAAATTTTGGCGTGAGTTACCCTTATTACTTGGGGAATAGTAATAGTTTACGACGCATTTTCAGCCCTACCGAACATCAAATAAAACTCGATCAAGCCGTTTCGGCAGTTTGGTTATAAACACTGTTGTACAGAATTTTATATAGATTGTCTTTATATATCTCTTCACAAGTTTACATAATAAACTACAGGTACTGACTATCTTTAAGAGGTGGATGCCCTACTTTATCTGTAAAGAAGGAATTTTGTGCACTTATAAAATATAATGCCCCATTAAATAACGAAGTACTATGATTGAAATACCTTTTTAGCTTTTTTGGGTCATGACCCTTTAATAATCTTTTAATGAAATTGTTTCTGTTTGGTCCAGAAATAAAAGATTGAGGCGCCACTAGTTTTTTTAAATAGTTACAGATATTATAAACACTTACTAGCAATACTTAATTGTACAATTATTTCCAATGTTTTCATGTAGTAAAAAAATGCTTATTCGGGACGGAACAAACTATAAAAAACTTACAAACTATAATTATATTAAAATAAAAGCCACAGAATCATTAAAAAAACGTAAAAAACTGACATCAAATTTTTAAATTTCATATGCGCAGACGCTTTTCAGTGATCCCCCAATGTGGCAGAAAATAATAATGTAGAAGACAATATTATACTATAACCCATAAAATATTATTTATAAAGTATAATATAAAAAACATACCGCCAAAAAAACAAGATAACGCAAAAATAATACGGTCAGCCCTGCGATACTGTAACTCACTTTTGAAAACGCTGAGAAAACCGCTGTGTGAGTTCGAAAAGTGAGTTACAGAATCGCGAATAGACAAACATTGTAGCTGTTAAAGAGATGGTGACTAACATAAACGATAATATCAATGGGTATATATGTATATGTACCTATAAATGTAAATTTAACAACGCTGTATTATTTTACAGGAGCAGTCGATGGGTTCCACAAACTTATGTTAAGACGTACAGGGAAAATTATCGCGCCCAATGCTGGTATGGTAGTTGCACGCGGACAAGGCTAGCTACCTATGTAGACAGCAAGTGGGTCCAGGTTAGACTTTAAACTAATTGTAAAAATTGAGGAGACTTCATCAAAATAAATAAATAAAATGTGTGTTGCAAATAAATTCTCATATGACACTGTAATAAATACGTTTAATAAGTAAGAATATTAACTAGACTATAATTAACCTACACTAACTAACCTTAAAATATAATAACTAAAATATATTATTAAAAGGAGTCCCTTTAGGCAAGGTTCCAAAGATACTGGCAGCGTTCCCACTTTGAATCTCTAGACTAATTCTTTGTCCGAGGTAGCTGCCAGCTCTTCGGCCTCCTGTGATGTCGAGAAATGGTCAGTGTGTCTGAACAGGTTGCATCCCATACTAGCACCCGGCCTATCTTCAATTGAATCAAACTAATACCGTCCGGTCTCTTGCCATCGTCTCTTGCAATTCCAGTCAGAAATGTTCCTGTATTTGACGAAGGGTAAGCGTGAAGCCAGTAGCCGGCCTCATGCGTACTCACGGCCAAAAGCCTAGCAAGCGCCAAACTTGTACTACAGCTGAAAAGATTGTCTAAGTGTTTTTTTTAACAATAAATAAAATTGTTTAAATTACATTACATATTTAAACGTCATTGAATTCGAAATATGCTGTATTGGTTTTTTCCAAAGCAATGAATTGTACACATTAAACTTCATTTATACATCGACATCGTTTGACTTTACTTATTTGATATATATAAAACAATAAGCCATTAAGAGTAGATTAAACAATTTTCCTTATATGAATAAAATATTCAAACTTCAGGAAATTTGATAACATTCCATGTTGTTACGCTATTTGCATAGCATGACTCAATAAATTATCATAATTGAAAATAACCGTTTTAAATGTTTCCAGAAAGTTGTTGTCGAAAATAAGAAGACGTGTTGCGATGGTTATATTCAAATGGATGATGACGAATTAGAAGATAAGTAAGTGTTTGGTTCACGCTGATTTATTACTTACGTACCTCCTTTTGAATGCTAAGAGTGAGAAAAGTCGAAGCTTAGCTTTAAGTACTCGTGCATAACAAAAATGTGTTCGATTTGGACATACTAGAGTCATACTTCGAGCTAAATCTCGACTCTGAATTTTACCGTAAGAGAGAGCGTGTAGTAAAGTGTAATAATCATGCCTTACATCAGTTAAAGAACTTTTATTTAGACCATGACTATGTCATGTTTGAATTCAATATCGGGATCATGTTACATGATCTATTTGGTGTATTCTATCCCGGTTTTCAGCATGACTAACAAAATTTTAAATACTATATTTTGAAGCGTTTACGAACCGAGAAACCAGCCTAGGTTGTTTCTAGTTTTGAATTAAATTGCACAAAATTTATTAATTACCTACAAAGACAAATATATGTGTCTTGTCATATTCAACTGTTACTATTACGGAGGTTTACTCATATTTATTTCTCTTTGTTAATATAATTTATTTTACAATAACTTAATTTGTTTTACAGCATTCAATGTAATCCTATTTGTATACCAGCTTGTAAAAATGGCTATTGTGATAAACCAGGAGAATGCAAGTGCAACAATGGTTACTTCTTTAAACCCCACAGCACCTATGAATGCCTGCCGTCCTGTCAAAATGATTGTGGACGAGGCCATTGTAGCGCCCCAGAAACATGTGAATGTGACTTTGGATACGTTTTTCAAAACAATACATGTCAACCAATTTGCAATGAGCCCTGTATAAATGGGACTTGCATTGCACCAGACACCTGTGAATGTAATATTGGTTATCGGAAGTCAGAGGATAACATTTGTGCCCCATACTGTTCTAAGGGATGCACACACGGAACATGTGTTAGCCCAGAAGTTTGCCAATGCGTTGCTGGATTCAAAAAGTCTGAAGATGAATGTGTACCACATTGTGATAGTGATTGTGGATATGGTAATTGTACTGCACCAAACGAATGTACATGTAATGAAGGATATAAAGTAGAAAATATAACTTGTATACCGCACTGCAACGGCACCTGCGATCATGGCAAATGTATTGCTCCAAATACGTGTAAATGCGACGAAGGTTGGTCTAATGTTTTTGGCGTTTGTCAACCAATTTGTTCAATCCCTTGTCAAAATGGTGCTTGTATTGGTCCAGATGAGTGCTTGTGCGATACTGGGTATGTTAAAGCTGAAAATGGTTCCTGCACTCCCTATTGTGCAGAATGTGATCATGGCAAATGTATTGCTCCAAATACGTGTGAATGCGACGAAGGTTGGTCCAATGTTTCTGGTGTTTGTCAACCAATTTGTTTAATCTCTTGTCAAAATGGTGCTTGTATTGGTCCAGATGAGTGCCTGTGCGATACTGGGTATGTTAAAGCTGAAAAAGGTTCATGCACTCCCTATTGTGCAGAATGTGATCATGGAAGATGTGTCGCTCCAGATATTTGTGAATGTGATGATGGTTGGGTTAAAAATGGCTCAAGCTGTACTGCGTTATGTAAAACACCTTGTGGGCATGGCTTTTGTGTGCAACCAAATGTGTGCAATTGTTATCCAGGATATAAACAAGGCATTCGGGCATTAGGTGAAATTTGTGTCCCTGACTGTGACTTATGTAATAATACATGTGTGGAACCTGAATGTGTGTGTGATTACCCATGTTGTACCAGTGTGGATTGTATTAAAATATATCGCACGGACGGGACAACGACAGTAGAAGACAGTACGTCTAAGGAAAATACTACAAAAAGTACCAACTACTTGAATACAACGAGTATAGATTATGATGATGATGATATTTCAACTGACAATATTTCGACCACAGACAATGAAGAACTATTAAAACAAACAAAAGACGAGCATGCAGGGTAATTGTTCTAATACTTTAACATACGCATTTTAAGATAGTCCTTTGTTTATTTTAATTAATGATGTAAAGAATTCAGCAAAAGATAGTAAACGAAAATATGATTTACTTAAATAAGTGACTGTTGGCATCGGGCATACTATTTCTTTTTATGATCATAAATTTTTAAATATTTGTTAGTACAATATGTCGATCTATTCATAACGAACTATATCAGTGTTAGGTTACTTTCAAAACGTTTAACGTTGGGTTAAACGGATCAATAGCAGTGTTGGCTTCAGCGTACGACTCTCATCCTTGAGATCGTAGGTTTGATCCCCGGCGGTGCATTAATGGACTTTCTGCCTATGTGCGCATTTAACTTCACTCGAACTGTGATGGAAAACATCGTGAGGAAACGGCTGATCACCTACTTGCCCATCAGACCTAAAATATTGTAGGTACTGGTTTTTTAACGGATGTGAAAGGAAGGCGATTCATTCTAATAATAAGTTAATTCAGATATATATGAAGATATTTTAAGTTCTTAAATCACTATTCTTTTTCAGATATCCATACTGGGTCTATTTTCTTCTTCTAGGCCTAATTTTATTAGCACCATTTTCTGTGTATATTATAATTTTCGCAAGCAGGAAAAAGATGCAGCACTGGTTTAAAGGTGGTAGCTATGAAATAGATGGTATGTTTATAGTGTTATACGTATTACCAAAGACAATGGCTAAGATTAATTAAAGCTTTGGTCGCTGAGCTTTAGTAAGCTTAGCTAGTTCTTCGTTGGCGGTAGAATCTTATAGCGCCAGCTAGGCTACGTAAAACAACTTTTACTCTATTGTTAGGTCAAAATTTATTTTGAGTTTGAGTTTGAACTAAACTACGCGCCTCATACCCCTCGGAAGACTCCCCGGTGTTGATACATCTTCGTTCTCATCAATTCTTTCGTCTGATTATTTTATTATCTAAAGCATTTCAGACAATGGGTTCACTTGTATAAGTTCACTAAGTTAAGTTACTTATTTTTATTGTTCTTATACCGGAATTTATGGATTCTGGTATTCAGTTTTTATTTTATACAGTACATAAAATATGTCTAACAAATATATTTTAGGGTTTATTAGTCAAACGAATTTGTAATAACAGATTAATCTTTCAGATCGCTACCCTCAATGCAAGGATTTGACAATACCTCAAGCTATGTCTGGCAGCTTGTCTTCGATTATTTCATACTCTGATATTAAGAACAGAAAAGAAGCCGTTCAGATGTAAGATTATGATTAAATAATGAGAAAATAATTATATTCAGTGATTATTAGGACTTATAAGGAATAATTTGGCATGATATTTAATGTTTTAACAAACATTTACAATAATTTTATTAGTTTTTTTAAAGTACGGCCATCTATACAATATTATTGAAAACAAAATAAATGTGGCCAACAGACTGAACACTAGTACCGACAATCGACACTAGATGGCGATATAATTTATTTAAAATAATATTATTTAATTGAAATGCAATTAAGTATTGTAATAAATTATTATAAATATATTTTATTGTTTTATTTCTTGTTAATTTTTGCCTGCACTCATTTAATGAAAATATCGATAAATACAAAACAACTTTGTGAATTCATTATTGTAAATTTAACGATTCCATGTTAAAAATACTAGCAGGATTTACCACTTTATACTATCCGTTGATCCTTTTTCGCTGCGTTAATATGTTGGATCTTGCTGCATCTTCTATCAGGTAACAGTGAACCGAGCCCCAGGGGTTGGCAAAATGGGACGAAAAACAAAGTGAATTACACTTCTATTCTTTCTTCTTCTTCGGCTAGATTTAGATCCAGATACTCCAACGAAGAGTGGAATTGAACCAAAGCTGTCTAAGAGGTATGAAGAAACCAGTTTTAAGAAGAAATAAGTTTTAGTACTACGAGTGGAGATCTGAGGAGATTTGAGACCTTATTGAGACCCAGAGAGCAGTACATATAAAGATACTGGAAGCCTTAGAAAAGGAATGAATCGAAAGTTCGCTGTCGCATCTACCGCAGCACTAAGAGAGTTAAAAGATGTTGGGCTCATGAGATTACTGAACGTGCTCAGATTGCTGATGACTCTGGAAATCTTCTTGTATACAGGACACAGGGACTTTGGCCAGTAGGTATGATCATACGAAGATATCCATTCAGGTTACTGAAGGCCACTTCATTACCAACTCAGAACGCTGGAGACAACAATTTGCATGTTTTTAAGGAAACGGAGACTGATTTATCTACCTCAAATATGTTGTTTCAGATTTTGGTGGTACTGATAGGGATATTTCTTCTCGGATAACCAAAGCAAGAGCCATCGTCGCACAATTGCAATTTAAAAAACTTACGCGTGGGGTGAAGAGTGTTTTGCTATTTGGGTGCGAAACCTGGAAAGCCACCTTCCAAATAATCAAGGTCTTTGTTTACCGGTGCCTCAGACAGATCCGGGGAATCTTCTGACCTCAGAGTATTTATAATGATTTATTGAGCGGTGCTGGTAAGCGCCAATCAACCACCAGATCTTACGTCGCAAGTGGAGATGGATCGGACACACTCTTCGAAGGGAGCCCAAACACATCCCGAAACGAGCACTATTACTCAGGCTATTACTATTAATTACTAGCCGCGTAATGGCGTGACAGCGGCTAAAATTTTCAAATATTTTGGATAATAATATAGCCTATAGAACTCAAAGATTCAAAGCATTCTACGGTCAAAATAATTTTTAAAATTGGTCCTGTATTTTGTATTTTATTCAAATATTTCCTCTTTATAATATTAGTATGAATATTACTTATATCTTTATTTTTTTTACAGTATATCGGGGCTAGTTCTGATTCTCAGCAAAACAATAAGATCTCTTATCCATCCATTATATTTAGCCACAAAAGGCGTTGTCTTAAAACAGTTAAAAATGTATCTCCAATTGCGAGTATGTTTCATATCAAGCAAGGTTTTGTTTAAGATTGAATATGACTTCATATAAATGCAAATGATTTCTCAAATGTCATTTAAAATAAATTTCCGCATTCCCCGCACTGGGGTGCTCAATTGGAACATTGGCTGTATTGAAAATGTGGGAATCTCCGCTTACATTTTATTTCCTAAATAGATTAGGCGTCGTCTTCCCCAGGATTATAAAACGCATTCTTATTTTTTGTGAAATAAGTATGCATAATTTAAAATATATGTGCTGGAGCTAAATCAGAAGACTACGCCATTATGAGGTTATACATCTTGATACAATCGTTCTTGATAAGAAGATATAATAACCGCAGATTGCCCACGAGATGGTGCGTGCTCCTATTTCACCATTCCTTTTTGCTGATAGAGGACAAATCATTGTTTTTAATTTGTTTTATTATTAATTACTTAAGATGTCATGTGGAACATGGTGTAATTATTGCAGCTCCTTACAAACATTGTGTAACACAATAAAACTTGGCGATTTAAAAGAGTGGCGGAGAGTTTATTGCCAGTTGTTATATTCCATTCTACGTTCTTGATTTGATAACTGGCAGTAAATGTAAAATTAGAAACATTTATCATTTAATATTTATTTCTTTATTGACGTTCATAAGTGTAGATTGTGTTACTTAATTGAATAAATGATGTTGAATTTTGAATAAAAAAGCCGTGCAGTTGTGTGGGGGACCAACTATCTGCTACAATTACGATGAATTGTACCTGAATACAACATCCACTACTGGGCCTTTGGACCAATCAGTGGTTAGAGTGGTTGAGGATCCGTGTAGAACAGTACATTTTCCTCCTTAACTGATAATGTTTTGAACACGCAAATATAAGGAATTGCTGTCTCAAAGTAGACGCCTAGAGGTGGGTATAGTCTATATAACATTATGTAATACGGCTTATGAACCTGGAGCAGCTATGCTTTATTTACATTGTTATAAAATAAATAAAATGAATTGAAGAACTACCAGCGATTAAACGCCACAGTTATGAATTGTATGCACGAAACTGTAATATTTTTATATTTAAATGTCTTCATACTTGGTATCTAGGAAAATCTCATAATATTTTTCTTATTACAGAGCTTTCTTCACGTAGAAGTTACGTGTCCCGCAAACAGTAAAAGTTCGTAATTAATGTCCTGAAGATAAACCGGTATGGTATTAAGGAGAATGGAATGTCCGCCGACCGTTATTAGATTCTTAAGCCGTAAAAATAATCGGGATGCTTATGAAATTTTATACTTTACTTTGTATTAATGGGCGTGGCTATCAGCGTCTTTCAGTAAGCATATCCCTAAAACAATACTATATTTTTCGTTAACTACTTTGTAAAACCGAGAATAGACCTGCTGAAGAATTTATCTACAGTAAACAGGTATGCAGGTGGACTCGAAAGAATCGATTTTCAATCTTGTGCCGGTCGCCTGCGCAGGTTCAAAAACCTGCACCGGTCTAATCACATACACATTCCGGTCTACCTGCGCAGGCATACCTGCACCTCGTGGACCTCTCCGGTAGACCGTAGTGGCCGGCATTAGGGAGTCCCTGTGTTGTGGGTAACTTGATAACAATTAGTCAGTGGTACATGGTACATGTTTATACCTTTTTTTTTAAAGAAAAAATAGGTTTAGCGTTACAACTAATGAAACACAAGTCTTATGAGACATTAAGTATTTGTGAGTGTAGCTTAGAGCTGTTGTTATAAGCACGCGTTTTGTCTGTGTTAGTTTTTGGAATCTTGGAGTCGTGCTAAGATACGTAGTAAGACCTTTGTGGATTCGTAATACAATTCAGCTAACGTAATTTTTATGTGAATTGTGAGTTTGTATCTGGATAGTTTGACTATCACAGAGTATGAAATTTGAAAAATAAATTATAAAGGAAGGGGCCCCTAAATGTAAAGAAGCATTGGCCAAACAGAGTCCTTCGTTTTGGCGTGCGATTCTAATCGTGTTAATTAAATTATATTAACAAAAATGACTTGATAGAAACAGCAGGAAAATACTGGTAAAGATAGCCTTCACCCAAGACGGGTCCATATCCACAGGCGACTAAAAGATTACACTAACATTTAGCAGTAAACACTAACAACATTTGGAATGGAAATTAAGGATATCCTTCCATAGTAATCCTAGAGTTACTAGAACTAAAAGTCTTCTATACATACCTACGGCTCGTTTATCTGCTACTTTTAAAGGCCCAGGGAATAGTCTATCTCGCTCTTACAACTTAATTGATGAAAATATTGATATATTTTACAATAATCTTCCAACTTACTGTAACTTTGTTTATCATGCTGTTAATATTTAGTTCAAAAAAGTTTATAGTTAGTTTTAAAAAATAAATCAATAACGCTACACCATTTTTAGCTATGGGCCTCAGATTTCTGTAACTGTTTCATGATCATTTGTCAATCACATAGGCAGGATAGATTATCAGCCTCCTGTGCACACGCCGTCGACTTTTTGGGTCTTTTGCAAGCCGCTTTCCTCACGATGTTTTGCTTCGCACGCTGAATCCACTAGGCCAACACTGATCAAAAGTTAAGTTTAGATAGCAATTAAAGTTCAAAGTACGTCTGATCCAACGCAGAAGCTGCAATTTACGAAGTAAAAAATCAATCAAAACATCTTAAGAATATTCATGATCAAATAGCTATTGAAATTCAATCAGAAAATCGTCAATGCTTCTATTACCGGTGCGGCGCCCCTGGCATTTATCGGCTAATTTTCGTATCAAGGGGTGCAAACTGTATTATTAGATTTAATACAGGTTTTATTAAGCATCAGCTTCCACTCCCGTGCTTTGATGGGGTTTTATCTCAATATTGTTTTATAACAACATTATCCGTTTCGCGCCCGCTTTGCTGGACGAATTAAAAAAAATTTTTTTTTTTTTATTTTTTTTTTTTTTCTTTTTTTTTTTTCTCCTTTTTTCCTCCCCCCAAGAAAATTGTAATTTTTTTTGAAAAGGGGTTTTTTTGGGTGGTGGGGTTTTGGGGGTTTGGGGGGGCCCCCCCCCCTGGTGGGGGGGGGGGGGGGGGGGGGTTTTTTTTTTTTTTATTAAAAAAAAAAAAAAAAAAAAAAAAAGGGGGGGTTTTTTTTATAAAAAAAAACCCCCCCCCCCCCTTTTAAATTTTTTTTTGGGGTTTTTTTTTTTTTTTTTTTGGGGGGGGGGGGGGGGGGGGGGGGGGCCCCCCCGGGAGTTTTATATCAGATTATCAACCTTTTGAGTGTATTATTATTTAACTAACACT